AGTACCACTACTAGGCGCCACGAGCACAGTCGATCGTCAGTCGGAGACGGAGACGGAGACGGATGGATCGATCGCCATGGCTGCTTTCAACTCCACCACTATCTGCAATACCTGCAGCTGCGTGTGCGTGCTTGTCAGTCACTCGACTCTCCAGATCATATCTCCTCTTTCTTTCTGTGTGTTTTTGTGTGTGTGTGTGTAAAGGCATGGCAGTACAGGATCATTAGTTAAGCAGCCTGACATAGGGTCTCCCAAAGGCAGGACAAGGCAGCCGCCCAGGGTGGACGACGACGACGACGACGGACGGCCAGGTTGGTTGGTTTCTCTGCCAAAAGTTCCATTGCCTCGATGATCTCGCTTCCTATAGCTAGCTACTCCTAGACTACTCTCTCCCACACACTACTCCTCGACTTGAACAGTGTACTACTCCGGGCTCCGGCCACACACACGATCAAATGCAACGACGAAATAGACTTGGGCTAGCTAGCTCCGGCTACGTGTTGCCAAGTCTGATGGATGGATGGATGCCTCTCCTGGAGCGGCCAAACTCGTCAGGTTTACTGATTCCTAGGGCCTCAACTTGCGAGTTTCTAGTGCATGCACGACTGATTCATTGCACATGCCACTAAATTTAGTTATTTGGGTGTAAAGTTTTTAAAGTATACGGATATACATTTAAAGTATTAAACGTAGACTAATAACAAAACAAATTACAAATTTCGCTTGTAAATTGTGAGACAAATCTATTAAGCCTAATTAATCCATCATTGGCAAATGTTTACTGTAGCACTACATTGTCAAATCATGGTGTAATTAGGCTCAAAAGATTCGTCTCGTAATTTACATGTAAATTGTGCAATTGGTTTTTTTTTCACATTTAATGCTCCATGCATGTGTCCAAACATTTGATGTGACGGAAAAGTTGAAAGTTTGAAGGGAACTAAACACAGCTTAAGGCCTTGTTTAGATAAAAAAAATTGGCCAAAAACATCACATCAAATGTTTGACACATGCATGGGGCATTAAATGTGGGGAAAAAAATCAATTGCACAGTTTACATGTAAATTGCGAGACGAATCTTTTGAGCCTAATTACGCCATGATTTGACAGTGTGATACTAGAGTAAACATTTGCTAATGATAGATTAATTAGGCTTAATAAATTTGTCTCGCAGTTTACGAGCGGAATATGTAATTTGTTTTGTTATTACTGTGCATTTAATACTTCAAATGTATGTCCGTATACTTCAAAAACTTTACACCCAAAGAACTAAACACACCCTAATACTACTCCTAACACTACTACATGTATACTACTCTACTCCCTCCGTCCCATAAAAAACGAATCTAGGACCGGATGTGACATACTATAGTACAATAAATCTGTTGGACTATAATATGTCATATCCGGTCCTAGATTTGTTTTTTATGGGATGGAGGGATTATCAGGTAAATTAACAGTCCAAATCAAGAAGTTTAACATCATGTTTGGTTTGAGAATAATATTGGTTGTATTGGACTCATCCCTTTTTTTTAGATAAGATAGTCTTGTCTATGCATTTAACATGAGAGATATGATGGCCGCATGTCACCCCGAAAGAAAATCAGGTTGGATTACTCCGATAGTGATACTAGTTTTTTAGGGATCGGTCTAAACTAGATCTTAGAGTAATATTCGCTAACAAGAACCATCCCATTTCATCTACTCCCTCTGTCCCGAATATAATAAGTTTTAGAGTTGGACACGGTTATTAAGAAAATCGATAGAAGTGAATGATAGAGGATTGTGATTGGATGAGTTATGAAGTTAGGTGGGAAAAATAAATGGTGGAGGGTTGTGATTGGTTGGGAAGAGAATGTAGATGAAGAAGTTATTATATTCTGGGACAAATCCTGAGAGCTAAAAATTACTATATTTTAGGACGGAGGGTGTATGTCTAAACTAATTAAACATTGAAAAATAAGTTCGATCTAATCCAATTCATTCCATCCCTTTAACCAAATACACATCTAGAGTACTACTCCTATTCACAAAAGGTTTGTTTTTTTTTGAACCAGTCACTGTCATGTGTTTTTTTGTGTGTGTTTCAGGCGTGCATAAACTACGGTGAGTCCCAAGAAGAAGAAGAGATCAGGCGTGACAATATCGCACGTGATAACTTGGCTCTTAATTTTGATGGATAAACATCCACGCACAAAAACCTGATAAAAATAGATAATGCAGCCGTCGAGATCAGTTCATTAACATTGACACATTGTGAAAAGAATATTATCTGAAACACTAGTTTGAAGTGCAAGCAATGGATGGAGGGATTGCATGCCTTGTATTCTAAGCTGCATCCATCTATATATTAGTTCTTGTTTACTCGCATCTAAAAGTAGGTACAATAGCCGGCCATAAGCCAACTATAAACATATTTTAAGACGATAAAGATGAGAGAGAAGAACAGTGACCTATAGATTTGTAGCCAGCTACAGTACGGACTCTAAAAATACAATGTGAGTATGATAGGTGGAACCAGATATTAATATGTTTATAGGTAACTATTATATGGATTGTCTATTAGATTGACTATAGATGATTTCTAGCTAATAGATGACTATCCTATTAAACTTGTTCTAGCCTCACCTCCAACTCTCATCAATGCAGGCTCCTCGAAAACAAAAGTCTGTTTCTATAGATCGAAGTGGTCGTTTCCACTAATCCGCAGTGATAGATTAATAATTACTGCAACTCGTACAGTTGACTACTGAACAGATCGAGAACGAGAAATTTAAGTGTACTCGCTCCTCAAAGGACACGTGATTAATTTCAAATGCGTACTGTACTATTTTCAAATCTTTGAATCTGCGCCGTACGTACCTGACTCGGAAAAAAAGTTGGATCAAATTTCATCTTCTTTTTATTGTGCTTGCTGGGTTGTACAGGATATATTGAGGGAATAAGTTCATATGAGGTCCCTTAACTTTACACCGAGTCCGATTTTCGTCCCTGAATCACAATACCAGATACCATGGGTCTCTCAACTGTCAAAACCGATGTAGATGAGGTCCCTCAGCGGTTTAGATGGCGGTTTTGACTGATGTGACGCTGATGTGGCTAGTTTGACTTAGTCCTCATCGTATGTGGTGGTGATGTGGCACTTGGAAGCAAAATAAAAGGTCGGACCCACGTGTCAGTCATTAAAAATAGTGGGACCCACCCTGCTCTCTATCTCCCCCGCGCCGTCGTCCTTGTCCCTTCTCCCTCCCGGCCATTCTTCATCCTTCCTCGAGCTCCCTAGCCGGCCGGCGAGCGCGTGCGGAGAGGGAGAAGGGCGCCAGCCATCGGGTGGGGAGGCCGGCGAGCGTGCGTAGAGAGGGAGTAGGTGGGGAGGCCAACGAGCGGAACGGGTAGGCCGGCGAGCGCGCGGCGGCAGGCGAGAGAGCGGCGGCCGGAGCTGCACGACATCGCCCCCCCTCCTCCGGCGCCACCGCATCGATCTGCACGAGTTGCGGCGACGGCGAGCTCACAGCCGCGGGACACGGTCAGCGTGGCGCTGACGGGGCCCGGGACTCGAGCTCGCAGTCGCAGCCGCCGCTGCCCACTTCCCCAATCCCCTCCATATGCATCAAAGTTTTTGATATTCATGGCGTTCTGCTCTTGTTCTGGTGGATTGATTGATTGGTGTGCTAGTGCGGATGATTTGTGCAAAGACGACGCGAAGAACGCCCACCTGGTGTCTCTGGACGTCGCCGCGGAGAGGCTGCGGCTGTTCAAGGCCGACCTGCTCGACTACGGTAGCGTGGCGGCGGCCATCGCCGGCTGCGACGACGTCTTCCATGTGGCCTGCCCCGTGCTCCTCTCCGCCCCTAACCCAGGGGCACACATCTCTCTTTTTTCAGCAAAATAATTCCTTTTCTACTCCATTGACTGGTTCAAACTGTAGATTGCAGTTACTGAAAATCGACAAAAATCAACAGTTTCTACTAAAAATGATTTATCAAAACTGTTGATTTCTCAACAACCAGTAGTAGCTGAAGTCTGCAGAGTTGTAATTAAATCGTCATGTTCTTGTAGCTAAATGAATTGATGTTGCTGTAGGTTCATACACTTGCTGCTGCTGTAACGGGCACGACAAATGTGCGGAAGGCTTGTTCAGAAGCAAGGTTGGGACTTGGGAGGGTTGTGGTGGTGTCATATGTCTCTGCTGCGATGGTAAATCCTAACTGGCCTGAAGGCAAGGCTGTAGATGAAGATTGCAACTCGTGCAGATCGATGCGGCGGCGCAGCAGGAGTCTTCATCGGCGGCGGGGCCGAGGTCGTGCAGCTCTGGCCGCCGCTCCTTCCTCTCCCGTCGTGCGCACGCCGACCTACCCTCCCCGCCCAATGGCTGGCGCCCTCCGCACTTCTCCCCACCGGCGCCCTTCTCCCTCTCCATGCGCTCGCCGGCCAGCGAGGGAGCTCGAGGAAGGATGAAGAATGGCTGGGAGGGAGAAGGGAAAGGACGACGGCACGGTGAAGATAGAGAGCAGGGTGGGCCCACTGACATGTGGGTCCACTATTTTTTAGACTGACACATGGGTCCCACCTTTTATTTTGCTTCCAAGTACCACGTCACCGCCACATAGGACTAGGACTAAGTCAAACTAGCCACGTCAGCGCCACATCAGTTAAAACCGCCATCTAAACCACTGAGGGATCTCATCTACACCGGTTTTGATAGTTGAGGGACCCATTATATCTGGTATTGTGATTCAGGGATGAATATCGAACTCAGTGTAAAGTTAAGGGACCTTAGATGAACTTATTCCTATATTGAGTGGCGATCTGCTTTGTGGCAGATCACCTACCTGGTCCAAGCGTGTGACCTCCATTCGGGCCTCAGGCCCATTCAAGACTGAAACCTTCAGTTTTGTCAGTGCTTATTACTACTCCGGTCACACAAATGCAGAATGATTCAGTGAATTTTGGGTATGTACGTGGTACTACCTCAGTTTCAAAATATAAACATTTCGATCTAGAATTCAAAATTGTATCAGAATATAAGCATTTGTAGGACATTGATTTCAATACACATAAATCTATACATTTTCCAACCAACCGGATGCTTGGGAGGAAAATGTAAGCAATTCAGAATTCAAATAATGTTTGACCACTTTGCAAAAAGGTTAACCCTTTTATACAAACTACATTTTGCACAAAGGAAAGAAATGCGAATGTTGGTGAATTTTCAAGTCAAGCCTAAGGCTCTCCGCGCTAGAAAAAAAATAACTTCTGATTATAAATCTAGATATGGGAAACACTTCTAATCGCCTAGGTGGACATCCACCCATTTGTTGCATGTCAACTAAATGTGTATGAAAAAAATTCAAAAAATTTGACAAGATAGAATCATATGTAATATATCACCCCCACAAACATGCAAGTTCAAATTTGACTTCTACAAGTTGTAACAAAAATAAAAAATCAAACTCTGATTAGCATACGTATATTCGCAATTAATTTTGTTATTTTCGTTACAACTTATAAAAGTTGAATTTTAAGTTGCATGTTTGTGTAGTGATATATTATATATCAATTTATCTTGTAAATTTTTTTGAATTTTTTTCATGATCATTTAGTTGACATGCACTTAATGAGTGGACATCCACTTGAGTGTTTAGAATCCACCTTCGTCTAGATATATCTATTTCCAGATTTCGTGACTAAAAGTTGTTTTTTTTTCAGGGCAAAGAGATTACTATTAATTATTTTTTCTTAACCTTAGTAGTACTATACTAAACAATCTAGAAATGTTTGTGTTTTGAAAGTGACGGAATACTTATCAATTGTTGGAGGATTTACATTTGTTTTTTTGAAAGCATACAAGAAGAGAAAAAAATATATCAAAAAGGAGATGCGATATGAGGTCTCATGGCTCATGAGACGATGTGTGCGTAGAGGAGCTGGTTCCAGACGTCGGGGACGCCGGGGAGGCACCAGTGGATGCAGTCGGCGTAGCTGCTGGGGTTGCGCCGCTGCTCGTCGGTGACGGGGTCCCAGTACCGGCGGTGCACCGACGGGTGCGCGTCCTTGCGCCGCTCCGACAGCCGCGTCACGTTGATCAGCCGCACCGCCACGCTGCGCTCCCCGAGCCGCCGCGCCTCCGCCTCCACCGCCCTCGCGAACGCCATGTCCGTCCCGCTTGTCCCCCTGTACTCCTCCGCCGCGATCGGCTCCGTCTCGCCGTAGCACCCGTGGTTTCCGCCGGCGGCGGCGGCGGCGGCGTCCTCCCACTCGTCGGAGCGGAGGTGCGTCGGCGACATGGTCATGAAGAAGAGCTGGGTGCGGGCGCGGTCGACGTGGAACTCCATCCAGTCGGCCCACGTCCTCACCGCCAGCTCGTACGCGCGCAGGCTGTCAATCACCTTGGACACCGCGTACTCGTCCCCTTCCTCCGCCGCCGCCGCCACCACCGCCGCCGGATTGTCAAACGACCCCCACCTGCAGCAAGAACGCGTCCGTCAGCGAGAGCGAGGTGATCAACTGCATCCATGGATCGATGCAAGCTTGCTACTAGCTACTCTCTCTCTTTCGTGTCTGTAAAGTTTGACTAACTCTATATAAAAAAAGTAGTCCTCTCTCTGTTCTTGATTGTACTGTTTGACCATTCATCTTATTAAAAAATTTAGAATTATTATTTATTTTTTTGACTTATTTTATTATCTAAAGTGCTTTAAGCACAATTTTTTATTTTTTATATTTATACAATTTTTTTAACCATACGAGTGGTCAAACAGTACAAATAAAATGTCAAAATCTCTTATATTATAGAACGGATGGAGTAATATTTACAACATCAGAATAGTTTCATTAAATCTATAATTAAATAATTTTCATAATATATTAGTTTTATGTTAAAATTATTACTAGTTTTTTCTACAAAATTAGTTAAAATTATAGTAGTTTAACTTTGACCAAAGACAAAACGTCTTATAATTTAAGACGGAGAGAGTAGCTAAAACTCACAGGACTTTCATGGCGGGACGCTGCCACCAGAGGTAGGAGTTGAAGACGAGGACGTCGGCGTTGGTCCAGTGGGCGGCGTGCTTGTTGATGGAGGCGGCGCGGACGGTCCGGTCGGCGACGCGGTGGCGCAGCGGGTGGTCGGAGTTGGACTCCACCAGCAACGGCGACCAGTAGAAATCCACCGACGCGTTGTACTCCTGCACGCGCGCCATTGTATTTTATCGTCTCAAATCACGCATATGAAACTCGTACATAATATGGGCAAAATTCAGTAGTATTTTGGAATCGTTCAGTTATATTTACGTGAATTTTGAAGGTGGTGAGAGATCGGGAGGAGTTGATTGAGGTGTGGAGTTCAGGGGCGCCGGTGTCGATGAGGCAGAGCATGGAAGCCCACTGGTTGCGGTTCAGCGAGTCGCCCACGAACACCAGCCGCTTGTTCCTTAGCTTCCCCAGAAACTTCTCCGCGTCAAACCTATAAGTTGAGTACGTATAATGCAGTTTAAGTCCAGTCTGTTTAAGATTTATATTTGGACACACACACAGTAGTAAAAAAATGAATTCGGCCATAATTATCCAAACATGAAAATGACAGTTCTTGAGTAGTACTAGGACTGTAGGGGTTTCAGATTATTTCTACTGACTCACTAGTCACTACACAACCAATTAAACTAGTACTCATACTATCTCCGTTCCAGATTAATAGTCGCTTTGACTTTTTTCTTGTAGCGTTTGACCATTCATTTTATTTGAAAAATTAGTGCAAATATAAAAATGGAGAAGTGATACTTAAAGTACTTTTTATAATAAAGCAAATCATAAAAAAAAATAATTTCATAATTTCTTGAATAAGACGAAAGATCAAAATTATAAAAAAAACTTAAAGTTACAAGTATTCTGGGAAGTATATTTTAAGTTACGTGTATTTTAATTTACCCCAAATGAGCATCATCTCGATCTCTACGTACTTAATTAAATTTGAGTTGTTAGGAAACTGCAGTGTGCTTCTAGCTACCAACATGCATCTACATGATCCAGTTGATGAACAACCGGCAGACTATTTTTGTTCATCACGCCAAGATCTACTACAATGTACACACTACGTACGTATACGTACGATGTGTGCAACGTATAGTATACGTATACGTACCTAGGAAGGTCGCAGCCATGGGGTTGCCACCTCCAATGCTGGTACCGGAGGTCCGTCCTCCCGTACTTCTCGCACGCCGACTGCTCCGACATCACCCTGCACGCGCTCTCCCTGTACAGCGGGTACGCCGCCTCGTCGTACACCCACCTCCCGGAGAAGAGGTCGCACTCGCCGCCGCCGGACGACGACGACGACGGGAGCTTTATTGACGCCGGCGGTGGAAGCGGCGGCGCGTGAGGCGTCTCGGCGGGGTCGCCGTTCTTGGTGGTGGCGGAGACGGCGAGGGCGACGAGGAGGAGCAGCAGGAGCAGCACGAGCGAGCTGAAGTGGCTCCGGAGGCTGACGCTGACGCCCCACGCCCTCGTCGCCTTCTTCGCAGCTGCAGCCTCGCCCGCCGCCCGCCACGCGTACTCCTCGAGGCTCCCCCCCTCGCCGCCGGTGACATTGCTCCGGTTCTTCCGCGGCGGAGTGCTCCCGGTCGTCGTCATCGACGACGACGACGACGAAGAAGAAACTAATTCAGTCGTGAATTCGATCGGTGGCGCGCGCGAACGGTTTGTTTGCTCACTGGCACGCGAGATCGCGATCAAATACAAATAGCTCGCGTGCAGCTGCATGCATGGGAGAGTGGGGAGTAGGTTCAGCTCAGTGGTCAGTGCAGTGTTTCAGCGTGCTGTCCATCGCTTACAGCACAAGTATCCCTTTGATTAGGTGAGAGAGTACGTTCTTGCTGCCTATACAACTGGCCTCGTTTTGGTGCACCTAAACTTCGTCAACGAATCAAATCAACGTAGAAATAGTTGCTATTGGGCATTGGCACATGGCATATTTGCACATTTGAAGAAATTATAGTACTAATATCGTACTGATGGAGAAGACCTGAGAAGTGATTCTGACGAATAAACAACTAGTGGATTGGATGGAGCCGGGAAACGATCGGAAAGCTAATTACTATTGGCACATCGCATATTTGTACATTTGAAGAAATTATAGTACTAATATCGTAGTGATGGAGAATAGCTGAGAAGTGATTCTGACGACTAAACAACTAGCGGATTGGATGGAGTCGGGATGAAAACGGTCGGAAACGATTGGAAAATCGTCTCAACCTTTTTTTTTTTGGAAATGGAATTAAAAATGGTAAAGTTAGAAACGAAAATAAAATCGGAAATATAAAAAAGGGAAACAGAATAATATGGACGGAAACATGTCGGTACAAATCGAAAACTGGTAACAAATACGAAAACATTAAACTATAAAAAATATATTTAACTTTGTGTAACTATGTAATACATATAAATAACTTCAAGTTTATACTATATAAATTACAAATTAACTCTATTTTAACCATGCACTCAAGTTATGGATTTAATTAAAGAGTCAATTTGTCTCTAAATTGCGGGTAAAATAGCGACATACTCTATAATATCGACATATTTAGAAATACGGTAATTACTATATTATAAGAAACGGTAATCTCCACAAGAATACAGTAAATACGGAAATGATCGGTACAACATCAAAACCATTTTAATTTTTATTTATATTTTTTTACCATTTCTATTTTTATTTCGGTCGATTACCATTTCCATATGGCTCGGTCGGTACAAAATCAGAAACGAATATCGGTCGACCGAAAATTTTCGTTACTGTTTTGGAATTCACATTACCGTTTTCACCCTTGGATGGAGGGTATTTAGCTTTCTGTCTGAAGAAAATCTGTTGATTACTACTACTGGTGTTGTACTTGATTTGTAAAGTGAAAATTAATTTCTTGATGTCTTGCAAGTAAAGGTTTTTGCGGGAATTGGGGCAAGTAGGAGTAGTATATATGTGGAGCAGATGACCAATTACCAACATCGTTTGGTGAAGGTTCCATGATTCTAACAAAGGTCAATAGTACACATACTTGCCCTACAAACTAGTGCTAACTACAGAGATTGATTAGATTAATAGAGCTACTAATGAAACTTTAAGTTTGGTTTTCAGGGATTATGTCTGTGGAGTGTCATATCCGACTAGTTAGAGGAACAGTTGGTCACGCCTTTTGTCAGGTACACACTAGTACCCTGAAAATGTGCTCTTTCAGTTCTTTCTTTCTTATCACTTTTGTAAGTTACTTTCATTAGCAAAACTGACAGTCTAATTTCAAATACTCCTTACGTATTTCTCTCTTCTGTTGATGTTGCTTAAAACTCTGAAGTTCCAAAGAAGTGTACGCATGTCAGCCTGAATGCCCGATAGTCTGCACTTGGAACATTTTTTTTTCTCAGAATGGATGACACCAATATGTTTCAATCTACCAGACTACCAGGCCTTATCTGTATTAATTCCGAGTTCTCAAGCAAAATTTTCAAGGTTGAACTTATGATAACTGATAGCACAAAACTTTTGGTATTGATCAGCACTAAAGCAAGCATGACAAATAGGCAACTCTTGCTTGACGATAGAACTGAAACCTTAATCAAATCAAACAATTTGATGTCTTACTTCGCTTCTAAGTCTGAGGAAAGAAAAACTTAACGAACACAAAAGTTCACGAGATGATATTGACCATCAAACCCATAGAGAGAGGGTGTATAACCTACCCGTTGCATAACATAGACCTGAACAGTTGTTCTTGTCTGCTGAAATCGACATTACTTGGGACTTGGACACTTGGTAGCAGATAGCACATAACTGTCGAATACTCAACTGAATTTCATGAGATAGAAGTTCCTTCTCCAGCCTGTAAGGTCATCTTTCTGCATACTACTAATTCTCGAAAAGTGATAGGAGCAGAGAATCAGACTCTTGAAACAGCCAGATATAGGTGTTTGTAAGTTGCAACTCCTTTTAGTTGTCCAGCACATAGTACTAAATTAAGGTTGGAAAAATGAAGCATAATACTTTTATCTGATTGAGGAAAAAAATGAGATAAATTTAACCTCCAAATCCAAGAATGAGCGTCTTAAACATTAACTGCATTTCAAAACGGCCCAAATAAAATCTATAGATTTGGGCCTCACAAAACCTATTTCATGAGCACACTATCCTCGCTTGACCTTACTGAAATCTAATTGGGTTTTCCTTTTCTGATAGCAATCCCTGGATTGCATTTGTTTAATTTACTTTAATTTCAGTAGCAAAACTCTGATCTGTTGGTGTTTGCTTAAACTCTGATGAATAAATTTGTCTTATCTGAAGGACTAACTATGGAGTTCTGAACTGGTATATATGTATGCCAGCCTGACAGACTACGGTTGGAACAGGTTGTTTTCAGAATGGATGAATATGTTTTGGCCTATCTGTATTCCGACTTCTCAAGCAAATTTGTCAAGGTTGTACTTATGACATTGATCAGCACTAGAGCAAGCGCCCCACAAACAAACAATTCTAACTTGACTGCACAACTGAAACCTGAATCAAATAGAATAGATGGATATCTTCCTTTTCCTTCTAAATGGAGGCCAGAAAAACTTGCTGAACACAAAAGTTCAGAAGAAGGCATCCCGTTGTTCATATCATATCGATCTACTATACTCGATCTTAACTGAATCACATCACGAAATGATGGTGACAGTCAAACCCATAGAGAGGAGATGTAACCTACTACCGTTCATGCCATCGACCTAAACAGTTCTTGTTGTCTGCCCGAAGTCGGCATCAGTTTGGACTTTGGAGAAGAGATCATATAACTGTCGAATATCCGACTGAACAGCTTAAAATTCAGTGTCTTCATATAACCAGATAGGTGTCTGTAACTCATATAATTTGATGAGTTTTTTCCATCTCAAAAAACGAACATCTTTATCTGACGATACACTGAAGCAGCCACTAGACAACTGATTATATTTGCATCCGAGTAAAAAAAATATAGCGTGCATCCGAAGAAATTTGCATACTCTAGTGGCCTGCATGCACATCCGAAGAAAATTGACGTCGTTTGGAAAAAACGCCGATTGGGGGTTCGGAGTTTTATTTCATCGAACCCCTTGACAATGTATTCCAGCTGGGCCGAGTAAAAGAAGGGCCAACAAAATCACGGAAGGAATAAGTTCACATTCATCCCTCAACTTTACATCGAGTTGAGTTCAATTGACATTACTTATCCCCAATATTAAAAATCTTCACCATTAAACTATACAAAACTGTGTAATTTGGGGATTCTACAGTGATTACTAAACACATGGTAATTCTTGTGCTTCAGGTTTCCACAGTTCATGGTAATTCAGAACATTGAAAATTTTAGGGTGAATAGACAAAGTGGTTCTCCAAGTTTTATCTGAGGCTTAGTTTAGTCCTTAAAGTTTCAATCTGTCCATATTAGTCCTTCAAGTTTTCATTTTAGTTCAAACTTATCCTTGAACCTACTTAGAAGTCACATGGCTAAATATAACCAACAACTTCTCTTGATAAATGAAACTTATACCCCTTATTCACATATATAAGAAAAAAATGCGTGCAATGAATTTTTTTTATGAATAATGCATAATAATTTATGTAAAACGAAAATAAATTATATATTTTCAAGTATATACGATAGCCATTAGGCTCAAGTTTCATGTGCACATGTTAAAATAACGGGAAGTATATTTGCAATGTTGTTTATTCATCTTGGTTTCTCTTTTCTAGTGTATAATTGTATATAAATTAAAGGTAAAAAGGGAAATTTTTCTAACATAAATGTTGACTAGAAATAGCCATATGGCATATTAAATAGGCCCAAGGATGATTTTAAGCCAAAACATATATTTAGAGGACATATATAGACAAAATAAAACTTGAAGTATCAAATTAAGCCTTGAGTAAAACTTGAGAGACTAAATTAACTATCCACCCAAAAATTTAACCAGACTCACTAGTGTTCAGATGTTTCTATAGTACTACTACTAGAGCAGATTTCAGATTAGTGAAATTTAGCACAAATTAATGGCACTTTCCCAGTCACCAAGAAAGATAAACGCAGAAGATGGAGCACTTTCACCAAGAAAGACAAATTAATTGAGCACGACGAGGGAGCCGGTCTGGCGCCGTCGTCGGGGACGGTGGAGGAGACGGCGAATTTGCGAAAGTATTGCGAATTCATTAGCCCACTCGTCTACCTTGACCTTTCATGTAATCTTAGGCAGTGTTCGGAATCCCCCTTTCCCAACTCTCTACTCTCATTTTCCACGCGCATGCTTTTCAAACGGTTAAACGGTGTGTTTTTTTACAAAAAGTTTACATACAAGAGTTGCTTAAAAACATATTGATCCATTTTTTAAAAAAAATAGCAAATATTTAATTAATCACGTGCTAATAGACCGTTCCGTTTTTCGTGCCCAAACTTGCAAACAAAGCCTTAGTCTTTTCTTTTTCTAATTTCGGCCCACTAAAATGCAACCTCCAATTCCTGGATCAGATCCAAAGTTCGCAAATACAAACTGCAACTCCAGGTTCTTGCTGAACAGAGTGATCCTGAACAGGTGATCACTTTGGTACTCAACAATCCAAGATTGATTTTCTCAAGATCACAGGATTTTAGTTAATCTTGATGCAGTTAGAAGCGCTTGCTATACACTACTCCTTTATGACACTACTATACTAGTGTCCGAATGCACCAAGCCACCGCCGCCAACCTCCCTCCCCGGCCTCCTCCGCCAGCGCCGTGTCCGCCAACGTCTCCTCCCCGATCTGGCCGCGGGGGGCCTAGATCCGGCGACGGGAGAGAGGGATGCGATGGGCGGCGATGAGAGAGAGAGGGAGGTGGCCCTACTCGTCCTCCTCGTGGCCACAGGCGACAGAGAGGCGATTGACGGCGGCGGCGAGAGGGAGAGAGAGAGAGGCGAAGAAAAAGAGAAGTGGAGGGGCGGCGGCGAAAAAAGAGAGATTTTGTGCGGGAGGGAGAGATTAGGGGTAGGGTAGTAAAAATATACATGGGTTTTGTGGTCTAGGATAACCGTTGTAGGCTGGAGTATCTCTTCCAACTTACTCTAGATTTTGAGGAGTCCATCTGGAGTGTCCGCCATTAAGAGATGAGTTTTCCGGAGATCATCCTCAGTTAGCGAGAACACTCTAATTTAGTTTTGATTGTAGATATCCTTACTACTATATTTTGGTATCGAGGGAGTATTTATTTTCTCCCAGTCCTATTCTGATTCCGTCGGCAGGGAACTCAAACAGAGAGTCGGAATCCACTGCGGAACGGATTGGCGGCCGCCACGCTGATGTCGGTGAGGGAGCGATGATGTCGATAAAATAGAGTAAACTTTTTTAAGGCGATAATCTGCCACGTCTTTCTTGGTTGATCTCTGCATCTCCCGTACCAAAGCATTTTCGCCGTCTCCACCGATTCATCAGGGCAGGGCAGATGGAATCAGGCGGCGCAAGCGAGCAGCAGCGTAAGAAGAGCAAGGGGAGGAGGAGAAATCGCATATTTTTCGTGGTGGATGAGAAGAGGCTGGATACTGGTGGCAACGGCATATACTTCGTCTTCACCCTAAATCTCAAGCCCATGTTCGCCGACGCCGGCGACGACGACGATTGGGCAACGATGAGGGCCTTACCTCCTCCAATCGCGCCGTTCGATTCGCTGGAGCGGTGCGCCGAGCGCCTCGACTTCGCCCTGGTCGGATCCAACGTCGTCGCTGTCAGCACGCAGAAGCGCACCCTCCTCTACGACACCGCCGCCGCCGTGGTGTCGAACGGTCCGGAGCTCCGGCACGCGACGATCGGCGGCACGGCCCTCATCCTGCTGGGGACCCGACTCTACGCCATGGACAACCGCCCGTGCGAGCCCGACCCCTGCTTCCAGGTCCTCCTCCCGCCCGCCACCCCTGTCGCCGGGTCCGGCGGCCGGCGCCGGCGCCATTGGTCGTGGCGCGCGCTGCCCGATCCACCGGCCGACTTCTCCATGGTCCGTCCGGCCCCCGCGATGATCTTCTGCAACACCACGGCCTTCGTGGCCGCCGGCGCGCGCATCTGGGTGTCCGCGCCGGACAGGGGCACCTACTCCTTCGACACCACCGCCCATGGGAATGCCATGGCGTGGCGCAAGGTAGGCGACTGGGAGCTTCCATGGGTGCGGCGCGCCGTGTTCGTGCCCGAACTCAACCTTTGCTTCGCCATGTGCCGGACAAGGTACTGCCTCTGCGCCTTCGACGTCCCCTCCGCCGAGCCGGCGGCGGCGGCGCCGGTGACCAGGTACGCGTGGGTGGAGGAGACGTACCCTCGCGAGTGCCTGGAGCGGGGATATTTCCCGCATGGGCCGGCGAGCCTGGCCTACCTGGGAGATGGCAGGTTGTGCATCGGCTGGACCATCATCGTCGAGTTCGGCGAGCAATACGGCTATTCTAATATGCCCACGCGCTTCGCCCTCCTCCTCATGGCTGTCCAAGTCGTCGCCGTCGCCGGAGAAGAAGGACAGCTGCGCCTTGTGAAGCACAAGGCGCGCTGCTACCTCATGTCAAACCGAGCACAAGAGATCTTCCTCCTCCAGCCCTCTTTGTGAGAAGAAGCTGCTGCTGCTGCTGCTTATTCTTCTTCTTGTGTTATTTATCTGCTGCTACTAGTATTTGTCCACCCATGATATCTCTTACTATTATGTTTGGTGTTGAAATGTACTCCCTCCGTTACATATCGTTTTCATATTGGTCAAATGCCTTGTTTAGTTTACGAAAAAAAATAGATGTCACATCGAATATTTAGACGCCTAGTAGAACTCGACGGTGGCGTCGTAGTCCTTGGCCCTGAAGATGCTGAGCAAGTCCTGACCCCGGAGCAGCGAGTCTACTGCCCTAGGCCGCCGCGCCCGCGAGAGGAGGTAGGGAGCCCCGCCACCGTCATCATTGCGTCCCCGGCTTTGCTGGCGGCCGCTCGAGTGGCAGCGAGATGGAGGGGAGGAGAGGAAGAGGTTGGCGGTGGCGCGCTCGCCTGGTCGCCGCCCTGGGGATGAGCGGCACGAGGGCCAGCCCTCCGATTCGACCAGTTCTTCTTGTCTGTTGAAGTCGGCATCAATTTGGAGTAGAGATCATATAACTGTCAAATACCCGGCTGAACAGCTTAAACATCAGAGTCTTCAGATAACCAAGATAGGCGTCTGTAACTCCTCTAATTTCATGATATTTTTCCAGCATTAGTTCAGGAAACAAACATGTTTATCTCATTATCTGACGAGACACAGCAGCAGCCACTAGACTGTAGTAAGGTGGAGACTAGAGAGGGTAGCAGGGAGCTTGAATTGTTGTGTTGCCATCCTGACTCACTGACTATAATTTGGTGCTCAGTAGCTGTTGCAAGTAATAGTACTATTCTTCAGAAAAGATTTGCCGGTTATCAACATGTAATGCCAGATAAACTGGATAAAAAATCATCATAAATCTACCCTATAGTTCAACAAATGGTTTCACTCATCACTAGTAATATACCCGTGCTAACGCTACGTTGTCATAATTTTTTTTAATAAATTGTTAAAATTTCATGTTTGAGAAAATAACTTTTCTAGAATCCATCCAATTAAGTTTTAATTCCATTCAGATCATATATAAATATATTTAAGGCACAACACAATACTATGATATCGAGGGCATCGACCATTATATCCAATCACTTTAATATACTCCCTCCGTTTTTAAATATTTGATGCCGTTGACTTTTTTAAATATGTTTAACCGTTCGTCTTATTCAAAAAATTTAAAAATTTAAGTAACTATTAATCCTTTTTCTATCATTTGATTCATTGTTAAATATACTTATATGTATACATATAGTTTTACATATTTCACAAAAGTTTTTATATAAGATGAACGGTCAAACATGTGCTATAAAATCAACGGTGTCAAATATGTAGAAATGGAGGGAGTACAATATAGAACAATATATGTCCACACATACAAAAAATGAATGATAGAGTTATTCCATTAATTTGTTGTGGCTGTAAAACAAGTTCAAAAATAATATTGACTGTATGGCGTATCTTAGTAACTTATTTCATTTGCTATAAAAATGGAAAGTAGCAATAGAGGAAAAAATCATCAAGATATATACTAACAAATGACCAGCAGCTTCCAGCTGGAAGTATTTCTATATTAGAAAAAAGGGGAGCAGTTTTCCCTAGTCTGAATTTTATGCCTTTGGGTTCCTAACAGGGTTATACCCAAATAATATGGCCATACTAACTTTTTATTATACATATGGAGTCAGAAAAATTCAATCAAGGGAATATTCATTAAGCCTCCCTCTATTACTGTGACCTTGGCTCCTATCAGGTAACCAATTAATGGTAAGCAGAAGATTAAAAAATCTTTGACCATCTCATAGAGCTTGTTCAAAGCCAAAGGCGATCTGATGGATGACATTGTTATTCATTCTGATCACTCCATCTCCAGCATATTTATTTACAGGTTGTACAATCAAATGATGGTAGATTTTTGGCATGCCTACGTACCAACCTGCAAACAGAGAAGGAATGAATTCATAAAGTATGCAAATAAGATTACAGTTATGTCGTAGACTTTTATACTGGTCAAGCTTTGTGATAGCGGCCAGGGAGTAAGAAATGTGCACACTTAGAACATGCAAACTGGATGTACGATGTATCCCAATTCCAAATTGGTAGGATTACACCATTGATCAAAAGAAAACATTGGGATGATTAATTTTAGAATACTGTAGAACGTTGGTATTATACATGGCTGTTGAGATTCACTCTATTTTGACCAGGGGAAGAAACCTTTTAGCTGTTGCACTTGAATCTTGAATCATGTACAGAGGTAAATCAATTTGTTGCATTTATAACTTCTTATTGAATTGTTATTTACTTATTTTTCATTCAGAGTGCAAATGAAATAATAACTCTGCTGTTTTCACCCTATGCTCATTTCTTTTCCAAATTAACTCGCGGTAACATATGAACAATCAATTCATCTTATAAACACACAAATAGGTACTAATCCACAGGTCAGGATCTACCTGCTTATTCAACAACTGAATTCCTTTATTAAGCTTAACAGCTCTTAAGTCTTTACCTGATGGTTCCAGCTAAGTACAAATTTCATGTGTGATGCACTAACGCACCTTCCACCTCAGGGGATGGAATCTGTCTTTTTTTCACCATTTTTTAATTTCACGTTGTTTCACAGAAGGAAAAATAATGATGTGAGAAATTACAAAGTTAGTATTTTAATCCTCAAAGTCTGAGCAACTCCGGGATCTGTCCTGTTGGGATTGTGTGGCAAAATGGAATAATGGTTCTATCTTTCTGTTAACCGATATAATTGGAGAGAAGGTAGTATGGCTACAGCTCTTGCAAATTCCTTCCCTTGTATATGAGAGACAACCAAACGAGTCAGGATAGAAAACAGACATTATTCCCCTTTGCAAGGAATATATAGAAGTCAAAGTCTCAAGGGTATTTCAGATGAGTAAATCCACATGCACAGATGCAAAAGAAAAAAAAGAAAAAGAATATTTGCTCATATCAATCACTCAAGGAAAACAGGAAAAAAAAAAGAGAAGAAACTGCTTTTACCTTCAATTAAGGTAATGATGAACTGAGGATGTCGATGGGAAACAGCAGGATATGGGCACAGGAGGTCTCCGATAGGCAAGTCACGCACGACGATCTCCTGAACTTGTGAAAATTAGCGAAATTTCTGAGAATTGAAAAGAAGCTAAAACATCTATTTTCAGTTATTTACTCAGAGGGTAAGAAGGAGAATGCAAATAAAAAATATATGAGCCTAGCATTTCATCCCAAAATATATAAACCTAAAATGTTCAAGACTTTGCCAATAAGAAGTCTAAAGTGGATACCACCGAATCTTGTCTAGTAATTTGTTTTCTCAACCTTCTCCAATCCATGGCATTATTAAATGAAATTTATTTTCCAAAAAAAATATTGATCAGTAGTTAATTGGGCCGGCTTGTTAACATGATGAAGTATGCAGATTCATTGCCTTACTATTGAAACTAGGAATAAAATGATATGATTGGTGAAATGATCCATTTCCTATATGGCATTTCTCAAGAATACTAATCTACAATATGGCTGCTATTGCGATTAACCTTGCACGAATTAAGTCATATCCTACTTAGATAGCTCACAGATTATACTCGCTTAATCGCTGCATCTAAAAACTAACGTATAGCATTCCAAGAAAACAGAAGCACGTGGAGCCATTTATTTGTGAGGAGGAATTCTCATTGTGTAACACTATATCACAATATATCTGAAAAACAAAATTTGGTTGAATCTGCCTAAGTGTGCAATTATGTGGAAGAAAGGGGAATAACAATCAAAGGAGTGGAGCAGGCAGCGGATTGGGATCAGACCTGAGTGGAGCACTGGGTGTCGATGGGAAACAGCAGATATGGGAACAGGATGTCTCTAATCGGCGGGGTCACGCACGGCAGATCACTGCTGCCGATGTCGCATAAATGTTGTTTTTTATCCTAACAAAGCAAGTTAATGTCTTATTGTAATTTTTCCTAACAAAGCAAGGCAATGTCTTACTGTAAATTTATAAAGAAATATTGAAATGTGTGAAGATAGTCTTTAATCGTCTCATATGCTTGACCCTCAAATATTATAATTGAGTTGAAGCTGCAAGATAATGAATCATCAAAATGTATATTGTGTACTATGCATATTATATGATTTGAAATTATAGTCTGTACAGGTTGTGGTCTATATTACATTGCATTATATTTGAATATTAGGACAATAAACTATACAATCAAAACAACTGTAAATTCCAATCGTGAGCCAGTCAGCAAAATGTAGACTCCTTGGATCAAGGAAAATTCTCAGAATATGGTACGGAGTCGGTGTTCCTTTTGTGTCGACAACTTTTGTGTTGCCAATTGTTGTCACAGACATTTGAAATATGTGTATATATAACAGCACTTGACATCACAGAATGAAGAAAAAGATATACTAAAAAAGAAGGGAGAAGTGTCTTACGTTGAGTGCTGTGATCTAAACAGCGAGCGCTTTTCGCCGTGATCTGGAGAGGATCGGTGCATTCAACTGCAGACAGAGTGATGGAGGATCAGCGTAGATGCTTTTGACTGCGGGGTTCTGGAGACAGGGGATCAGCGACGAGGCAGGAGCTTGGACTGGGGGTCGTCCGTGGACTGGCGGCGCTAGCCCGATGGAGATCTTGGCGGCGGCGCTGGGGACCGGGGAGACGCTGCGTCGGCCACGAATTCGGGCGGCGGCAACGGCCGGAGGACACCGCGAGGATGCGCAATGGTCGACAACCATCCGGTGGTGGGGAATCGACGACGGCGCCATTATAATTTTGAGCAATAAGCGGCTAGGTTTTGGAATGGGAGGGGGTGGAGAGGGGCTGAGGCACCAATGCGTCGGCGACGGAGGAGAGATGGTTGAAGAGGTGGACAGCTGATGGCGGAGCGATTTCCGCCTTTCCGGCGTCAACGCGTGCAGGCGACGGGAGGACTTCGTGCGCCGGGGATCGGTGGAGCAGAACGGCGTGGAAGGCGTCAGCGGCGACGTGAATCCTGGCGGAGGACAGGCGATGGGGATCGGTGGAGGGCGAGCCGGCGGCGGTGGCAGATCGGTGAGGCAGAGGACGGCGCGACGGCTGATAGGGAGGGGAGCGCTGATGGCGGAGCGGTTTCCGGCGTCGCGCGTGCGGGAGCGGAATTTGTGAGAGGCGCGGGTGCGAGTGGGAGAGCGAGAGAGAGGGAGACGGGCCGTGCGGCGCGAGGGAGGGGGCGTACGGGCACGGCGATTGAGGTAGGTGGGATCGTTGAGATTTCACCAAGATGATATCAACCGTTACACTCATTCTTTCATTCCTCATGGAACGGTCCAGATTAACTCGGTGAAATCCGAACGGCTGAGATCGATCCCACCTCCCACTTCCCTCAATCGCGGCGCACCCCTCCCCTCTCTCTCTCTCTCTCGCTCTCCCACTCGCACCTGCGCCAGCGCCGCATCCCCAATCCCGCTCCCGCACGCGCTGACGCCGGAAACTGCTCCGCCATCAGCGCTCCCCTCCCCAACAGCCTCGCCGATCTGCCCCGCACGTCGTCAAGGGTGCCGGCTCGCCGCAGTCTACATCGCCGCCCACTCCGTCGTCATCGAATCCGTCCTCGGGCAGGAATCACGTCGCCGCCGATGCCCTCTGCGCCGATCTGTTCCTCACCGTCACCGATCCCCGCTGCCAGCTCGCCCTCCACCGACCCCCCGCCGGAAGCCCTTCTGTCGCCAGGTCTCCGCCAATGCATTCCACACCGAGCTGCTCCTCGCCGCCACCGATCCCTGCTGCCAGGTCGCTGCCGACGCCTTCCGCACCGAGCTGCTCCTCGCCGCGCCGCCACGACGACGACGATAGACTCCTCAGCAAGTCGCTCCTGCCGACCACCTAGCTAGCTAGCTAACGTCTTGACGATGTGTTTGTGGCTAGCTAGAGCTCTGATGCGGCAGCTTGTATGGTGTGGCTGGGAGACGACGACGCAGCGTGCGCGAGAGGATGGGAGTCACGAGCTCCAGCCTTAAGGGAGGGGAAGGAGCATAAAAAAAAATTGAGGGATGGAAAGAGAAATAAAAAGTTAAAAACAGAGAGAAGACAAAATAGAAAAAAATTTGGAAGATTGGAAGAGAGGTTCAGAAAATTTAATTCAGTGGCTCATGACCGTTGTTCTAAAGGTAAATAAGCATGATTTTCTACTTGTATATTGCAATTGTTAATCGGTTGATGAAAAGACTCCAAAATCTCAGTATAAAGTTATACTAATAGCATCGCTGCATTTCAAAGGTCATGATCATGTAGATATGCCTGCAGTTCGCTGCCGAGGTGCAGGATAGCTAGGAAGGAGATAACTGGAGCAGTACTTGTGTCATAGACTGATTGACAGTGCCGATCGACGAGGTGAGCTCTTAATTTGTAGTTTCATATGTAACTGCATTATCTGATTATTGTCAGTTCATCATACAGTTGCATCGAGAACACTGGGCTTTTGGTCCCATAGCTTCAAACAAAAAGACCGCTTTGTAGTTTCAATCTGGAAATCCATTTTCGTTGGTCCCATGCAGTGATGGTAAAGACAGTTTGACCTATTGTTTCTGCTATTGTTAATATGTACAAGGTGTGCTATCGGTGTTTATATGAACATATGCTATCAGTCATACATATCAACTATCTGTTTATTTTCGCTTTCCCAAATGGTGAATACTATATGTTCCATGGCATTTTACAGGCCACTTTTTGGGGAAACCATAGTAATACACTTGTATGTTTATTATTGTGGGTTAACTGCATAATTTACGTTCGGACTTGTTCCCTGTAAAGCCAACATAGCTGGACTTTGTATTCGAAATACCGATAGCCATCTAAAACTGGGCCAACATTGTTTCAGATTTATGGGCCAAATATTTTTCCAGCATTTCACCCAGATCAAGACCAGATTTATAGGACTGGTCTTGATCTGGGTGAAATGCTTAATTGATGTAAAATTTGACCTTAAATTGCAGCCATTATCCAGTCAATCTTACACAGAAGTACTGGCAGTACTGTTGAGCTATAAAATACAGCTCATAAGAAGTTTATTTTTTTTCACATTTCTCATAACTTTGTTGATTTGCTCGGTAATTGTGCATAAGACTGAAGACCCTTTCCCAGTAACTGGTCTACATGAACCTTTGTCAAAGCTGCTAAGCCTTTTCAACAAGTTGGATCTGCAAACTGATAATCATCTGAGAAAATATTAGGCACAATTATTAGACTCAAATAAGAGTGTCTCGTTACCCATATTTGTCTATATGATTCAAGAATTCAAAATATTTGCAGCCACTGAATCCTTATTAATACTTTTCTACTCTTCTATGTAGACTTTACATATATATACTAACCCTCTACTGACTGGACGGGTGATTTGATCTTTGCATATAATGGCCCTGCACTGATTTGATCTGGACTAGCATAATTAGTATAAATGGTAATACTGTTCTAGCATATTTATATGCCTTTTCGCATGAAAATGTTGTGTTTTTTATTTAGGAGCTCCATAGCATTGGTGCTCTGAGCACTTAAATGCCAGCATAGAACTCAATTCAAGTACTTGAGTGATTTGATTGTGTCTTGAATCTTATTAGAAAATTGAGCTCCACACTGCGCCGGCAACCCCGGCGGGCAACCTCTGCACCGCCACCTCCCCTGTCGTCTGGTTTCCACCGCCGGTAAGAAATTGCAGAACCCCACGTTTAATTTAATTAAAGATCTTTTCTGTTCAGAGCTGCAGATTAGGTGTTTAATTTCTTCATGGCACCCTTTGTGCAGAAGGAATTGCTCAAATCAGGTATGTCTCTATTCCTATTATTACCTACTCATGTACTCCTGTTCATATCTTCTGGCTGAATTCAGAATGTATTATCAGATCAATTACTTCAGTAAATTTTATGTTACATAACGAATTGAATGAAGTTTGTATCCATGTGGTGGAACCTGGGTTGTTCCAAGATGAATGACTGGGTTACTCGCTCAGAAAATTATCAGCTGAAATTCTCACCAAACCACCATACTTAACATGGAGAAGCAAAATATTTTAATGCAGGCGGAATTTACATGCTTCACATTAATCTCTTCTGGTCAATGTGTTGTTGCAACCTATGCTGAAAATAATGTCCCTTCCCACCTTGATTCCTTTACTATATTGGGTTATTATTGCAAGGTGTACAACTTAAGGGGTCCAATCTGTATTGTGTCTTGTACATGTCATAAATTAGTAGGTTACAGCTTCCTGCAAATAGTCCTTTTCAATGGATGTTCCTGATAAATGCACTTAGTGATTCTCCTTAATAATTGAATGTGAGAGGTTTTTTATTTATTTAATGTGAAAATAGATTTATTTCCCATGTGACCTATTAACTGTGATAGTTTCAATGTTGAGACAAATTGCTGACTTTCTCAAAACAGCTATGCGATAGTAAGCTAAACACACGCATGGAGTATTGTTCTTTGTACATTTAGCTAGGATAGCAACCGATGCTAGCAGCTCTTACTCAAATCTGATATAACTTTCAGTATACTGTTAAACTTTGAGTCATTTATTTGCGTGGAGTGCAAACTTAAGTTTATTATTTATATGCCCTGGAGCGTATACTGAAATTTATTGTTTATATGCCCTTGCTTTTATATTCAGCCATCACGTTTTACTAATAACTGTTTTATATCCTTACTCGTACTGTTGGCTCATATCAGACACAAGTGAAGCTATTTGAGGGATCACTAGCTGTACCAATTTCTTTCCAGTCACATTGGTGAACAAAATTGGTATAGGTACTGCAACTGGATCAGTCGCACAGAACTTTCTCCAAATTGGATTGGCCTCACTCCTGATGACTACATAAACATCATGGAAAAAATTGTATGCGATATGTGTTTGATCCTAGGAAGTATGTGATGTGGATTTGGGTGATCTTACCGTCTTGTTGGCTTTTACATGGCATGATTGACAGTGTGTAAATAAAATCATTTAGTGCTCTGTAAAAATATATGTTGCTTGTTGATGTCTTAATGGGCATGGATAACATTGTCATCTTACATAAATGCTATGATTTTTTTTTCACTAGGCTCTGGACAAATTTATATTCAGCAGCACAACATGCACACTTAAGTTCCACTTGAGCATATAGTTCTCTTTAATCCTTCTGGCACATCAATCTCATGGTCTGCTCTGTTTCATACTATATGTTAACACTTGTGTCTAAATATGTACTTTTGCCATTGGTAAATTTTAGTAGTCGTCCCGTGTAGATATTGAAGAAGATGTTAACGCGATGACCAACAATTGTTATATACATTATGAAACTATTACTTTGATATTTGTATCATATCAAACTGTTATTTGGATTTATATTCACGCCCTTATGTTATGTTCTCAATGGGCTGCGGTCAACGTGTGCCTTGTGTGACAAATTGAATTGCACCGTAGCGGTTAGCACGGGCATATTACTAGATATATATAAGCTGACATTACTGGTGCTATCTAAAATGATTTGTTGGCAACGTTCTCTTTGTTTGACCACTAAATTTGTCCTCACCTTACGCTTTGATTGATCAGGGCGGCGTATGAAGTTAGATATCATAATACTCCGAAGGAAGGATGAGATCCAAACACAACTGCAAGTTTGCAACTCCTGGTTCTTGTTCAATAGAATGATCCTGAATTTGTGCATTGATGATCACATTGGTGCTCAAGAACGATTACAAGATTTAATCAACCTTGATGCAAAATGATGCCTTTGTCAGGTATACACTAGTCCAAACGTCCAGTTACCTAGGAGCATGGGTGGCGATCTAGTCTACGGATTGATAGTCACTAATATCTATGTTTTCTGATGGGGTTTTTGTTTTGTCCTTTTATGGCTGTGTGCATTTTATGCAGAGGTCAGGGGTGAGCTCAGTTGGAATGTGTCGTCTTGGTGTATTTGATTGAGTCTTAATAAAGCTTCCATTATTTAAAAAGGTATACACTAGTACCTGAAACTGTGCCTTTCACATTTCCATCTGAAGAAAAATGCAAATAAAAGGAGGAAAAGAAAACGTCTTTGGAGGTTCGGAGTTCCCTTGACCTCAAGGCCTGATGTGATTAAACACTAAATAAATTTCGAAACGGCCCAATAATTTGAGCCCAACGAAAAGCCATTCCTGGATGAGATCCAACCACAACTGAACTCCATGTTGTTGCTCAACAGAGTGACGGTGATCAATTGGTACTCAATATCGTGTTGGAGAATAAAACTTGTGCAAAACTTTCACTAGCAAATCCTGGATTGTGATTGTTTAAGTTTCTTTCTGTAGCGAAACTTGACTGCCAACCTCCAAAGTACTCCTTACTACTCTCATCTGTTGATTTTGATTAAACTCTGATGAATAAAACTGTGCTATCAGAAGGAAGGACTAACTATGAAGTTATGAACTGGTCCCTCAAAAAAGGAAAAGAAAAAGAAGTTATGAACCAATATATGCATGTCAGCCTGTCAGTCTATGGTTGGAACATGGAACATGTTGTTTTCAGAATGGCTGAGGGTGTGTTTAGTTCACGCCAAAATTAGAAGTTTGATTGAAATTAGAACGATATGATGAAAAAGTTAAAAGTTTATGTGTGTACGAAAGTTTTGATGTGATGGAAAAGTTGGAAGTTCGAAGAAAAAGTTGGGAACTAAACCAGGCCTGAATATCTACTACCAGGCCTTATCTTTGTTCCGACTTTTCAAGAAAATTTGTCAAGGTTGTACTTATGAGTTATGACATTGATAAGCACTAGAGCAAGCGCCACAAACAAGCAATTCTAACTTGACAGCACAACTGAAACCTGAATCAAATAGATCTTCCTTTCCTTCCAAGACTGAGGCGAGAAAAGCTTGCTGAACACAAAAGTTCAGAAGAATGCATCCCGTTGTTCATATCATCAGTCTACTATATTCGATCTTAACCGAATCACATCACGAAATGATGGTGACAATAAAACCAACGGAGAGGAGGTGTAAACCTACTACCGTTCATGCCATCGACATGAACAGTTCTTCTTATCTGCTGAAGTCAGCATCAGTTTGGAGTAGAGATCATATAACTGTCGAATACCCGGCTGAACAGCTTAGAAATCAGAGTCTTCAGATAACCAGATAGGCGTCTGTAACTCCTCTAATTTCATGATATTTTTTTCCAGCATTAAACATGTTTATCTCATTATCTGACGAGACACTGCAGCAGCCACTAGACAGTAAGGTGGAGACTAGAGAGAGTTGGTGAGTTCTACCATGAATTGACCAGAGTTCTTGCTTCCCGCAATTAAGAAGCAACTGATAACAATTATTCCAAACAAAAAAAGTATGGCGTGAATAAAAAAAATTGCATCGATATAGTGGCACGCGCATTCGAAGAAAATTGACCTCGTTTATTAGGGATTCGGATTTTTAGTTTCCGACCCCTCTCGTTATGGCCCAAATAATCTCTATAATTGGGCCTCATAAGCCCGCCTTGTTTTTGTAATTTCGGCCCATCAAAAGGCAACCTCCAATTCTGGATGTGAGATCCAAAAACATCTGTGCAACTCCAGGTTCTTGCTCAACAGAGTGATCCTGAATTGGTGATCACATTAGTTAATCTTGATGCAAGATCGTGGATTTTGTACACATGCAAGCAAATAATGCTAGCTTCTGTATTTTCACTTCGTTCAAAAAGAGAAGAGGAGAGAAGAGGAGCAAGTATAGAGAGATTTGATTACATCGATCGCCAAGAAAAGAAATGGCGGGAACGGAGCAGATTACACCGATTAGTGACGACGACGACGACGACGATGGCGGCGGCGTGACGTCATGAGGTCAGATCGCCTCGTCGCGCGCGGGGAAGAAGAGCTTCCAGTAGAGCAGCTCGTTCCACGCGTCGGGGACGCCGGGGAGGCACCAGTGGGTGCAGTCGGCGTAGCTCCTCGGGTCGGCGGCGAGCTGCTCCGCCGTCGGCTTCGCCCACCGCTGCTCCCTGTACACCTGCGTGTGCGCGTCGCGGCGGAGCTCCGACATCCGGGTGACGTTCACCACCCCGACGGGCACCCGCGATGCCCCCAGCACCTCGCCGGCGACCTGCACCATCCGCCGGCTCGTGCTCCCGCAGTACGACGCCGCGTCGGCCGCGCCCACCGGCGTCGTCTGGTCGTAGCACTCGCCGCCGGCGCCGGCGTGCGACGGCGACGCCGTGACGAAGAACACCCGCGCGCTCTTGGGGTCCACGTTGCCCTCCAGCCACCGCGTCACCTGGTGCAGCACCAGCCTGTACGCCTCCGCCGCCTCCATCTCCACGATGTCCTTGCTCATGTCCTCGTCCGCGCCTCTCCTGCCAACCAGATCACACAAACAATCTCACAAACGAATCCATCGATCGTTCACGCCATGGATGAATCCGTATTTGCTAGCTACTCCCTCCGTTTTATAGGTTATAATACGTTTTTTCCTTTAGTCAAAATCAAACTACTTTAAATTTAATCATTTTTTTCAAAAAAGTAGTAACATTTTCAACCTAAGATAAATTTATTATGAAAATATATTCAATCATTGATTTGATAAAACTAATTTAATATTATAAATATTACTATATTTGTCTATAAACTTAATTAAATTTAAAACAATTTGTTTTGACCAAAGTTAAAACGTTTTATAACCTGAAACCTGCAATGGAGGGAGTAGCAGCTTACAGGATCTGGATCTTGTCGCCGGTCATCCACCAGAGGTAGGAGTTGAAGACGAGGACGTCGGCGCCCTTCCAGAAGGAGGAGTGCTTGTTCATGGGGGCGCCGCGGATGAGGCGGTCGTCGGGGACGGCGGCGCCGTCGGAGTTGGACTCGGCGAGCATGGGCGCCCAGTAGAACTCGATGGTGGCGTCGTAGTCCTTGGCCCTGAAGATACTGAGCGAATCCACCGTCTCGAAGGATCTGGACCCGCCGCCGCCGCCGGGAGCGCCGCGGTGGAGGAGGCAGAGCAGCGACGTGTACTGCCCCCGGAGCAGCGAGTCCCCGACGAACAGCATCCGCTTCCCCCGCAGCATCTCCAGCATCCCCGTCGCGTTGAAGCTGCAAACCAAGTGCAGAGTGATCAGATCAGATGATGTTTTTTTCTTTCCCATGGAAACTTGAATTCAGATGACTCTTTGTAAAAAGAAATACTCTCTTCTATAATAATTTCATTCTTTTTTCATCAAAAAATAATTTCATTCTTTTTAGCTCTTTTCTAGCTCTTTTCATTTGTCTCAAAATAAATTTTTTTTAAGTAATCGTTACATCGAAGTTTGTGGAAGCAGGAAATAAATGTATTGTGAGTAAATAAAGTGGGAAATAATTGTATTGAGATTTAATAAAATAGGAGTATTCTATTTTTTATTTTTATTGGTATGCATGTGATGGGTAAAATTTAAATTTATTTTAAGACGGAATGAATACTTTTTTATAATGAAATTTGTTTGTACTAGCAGTCCACATAGCGGTTGAGAAAGACAAAAGGAAAACAATCAAAAAAACAAATCTTTGCATTGGAATTTTGCATCTGGTAACATGTTTACGTCTTTTTTAAAGATGATTATACAAAATTTGTGGTCAATTTTTAGTCCTTTTTTTTAGTGTTCTGACTCGACAAGGCTGGAGTCCACTGCATGATGGATACCTGACCGGCTGACCCACCAAAACAACCAATATCTGGCACGTATGAGGACCACACGGTGCATGTTTGTCTACTTCCTTCACTGAAACCTCCATTTTGAAACCAAACTTTCCAAGAGTGAATCATCACAAAATGAAATCTTTCCTCTAAAGAGAGGCATACGATGTGCAGACGCCAAGACATGCAGATAAAATAATCACCACGGGGAGAGTTGGTAGCATGGGTCATCTGCCTAATCTGCTAGAGCTAATGAAACTCATTTCATTTATGTGATTCTATTACTCCCTCCGTCCCCCCAATATAAGGGATTTTGATATTTTACTTATATGGTTTAACCACTCGTCTTATTCAATAAAATTTGTGCAAATATGAAAAACAAAAAGTTATACTTAAAATACTTTGGATAATAAAGTAAGTCATAAATAAAATAAATAATAATTTTTAAATTATTTAAGGGATGGAGGGAGTATCAGTTACTGCAAATGTGCACTGATCATTGAGTGAGTGCAGTGAGTGCATGGATCTTGGAATGCTCACACCTATATGAACTGAAAATTGTACTCCTCCTCCTGTTGTTACTGCTAGTACTAGGAGGAAGTAAATTTACTTTTACAATTGTCATGGACATGACCTAACCTACCAGCTGTCCTTCCATGCAATGCCCTACTACTGCACAATGCATTATTGGCGTCCTTCCTGGATGTCATCACAAACTAGCACGGCAGTCGAGATGCAGCCCATCTCCTTTCCTATACCACGGTTAAACCCGTTCTCTTTTTAACCCCTTTGTAAAAAAAAAAAAGCATAATTAAATCCCAGTAATAACTGCCCCTTCCCCCCTGCATCTCGTTGCAGTTGAGCAAAGCAAAGTCACAGTCACGGCCTGCTTCTTTGGGTAAAGCCGCGCATTGGATTCTATCCTTGTTCACGGAGCAAGCGAGGTGGTGGTCGCCGGCGGCGACAATGGCTGGCCGGAGGAGGAGGAGGTGGATGAGCTTACCTTGGGAGGGAGCAGTCGCGCGGCTGCCAGCGCCAGCGCTGGTAGGCGGCGTCGGGGCGGCCGTGAGCCTGGCAGGTGAGGTCGGGCTGGATGTAGGGGCACTCCTCCTCGGCGTACCACGGCCGCGCCGCCTCGTCGAACACCCACTCCCCTTCCCCGACGTCGCACCCCTCCGGCGCCGCCCCCACCGCGAACGGCAGCAACTCCGGCGACTCCCCCTGCATTGTTGCCCAAAGCATCAGCATGCATGCGTCCGGGAAAAGAACGTACACGAAGTTGACACTACGCGTGCGTACCTGGGCGGCGGCGATGGCGGCTGCGGCGGCGAGGAGGGCGACGACGGCGAGAGCCCGCTGCATTATGGCTGGTTGGTGCATTGGGATCTGGGTGCGAGGTGAGCTGAGCTGAGCCGAGCTCGCGAGTGAGGGTGGTAGAGAAGGCTAGTGAAGGAGATGGAGGGTTGGTTCAGATATAACGCAGGGACAGCGGCTCTAACTATGTCTATCCCCCAACAACCGCACCGTAGGGACGACGACATTGGACACACCTTCTCCTGCCCTACGAATTCAGGCCACCATTTTTAATTTCAAATCCAAAACTTTTACAAAACAAACAACATTTTTTTTTCCTCCACAATTTACTGCTGCAGACCTGCAGTGTTCATCACTGTTCACTGTGCTAGCACCGTACGGCAGATGCGTCTTTTTTTCTTGACAACTTTTACGTTTTACTGCTGCTAGACTGAAGATTTGGTTAGAGTTAGCTAGACAGGATTCTCTTGGTTGGAATTCTGTTTTTGTGTGGATTAATTTTGTAAGCCAGGACGATTAATCCATCTTTTTCACGTCATGCCTGAAAATCTGGAGAGAATTTTTTAGCTGTTGTTACTTGTGACTACCTTTAAACTTCTTTTAGGTGAGGGTCGTTTACTCGTTTACTCCACGGTTCATATTGCCAGCATTTGGTGCACCTAAATTCTATCCACTAATTAAATCATCACTTTCAAGCATGTTCTCTAAAAGTGATAGACCAAACATACAGCAAATCGTTTTTTGTTTTACAATATTGTAGGACATGGTGTACTGAAAGCAATATCGTAAAGCAGAAAACATGTACTACCAACAAATTGAAAAGGAGACGTTTTTTTTTCTGTAGAGTCTAAGCAAAGGCTAAAGGGAAAGAATGAGGATTTGGACAGGCAAAAGGAGCAGGTGGCCAGTGAACAGGGACGGTACGTAGTGCTTGCCGTTTGGTGAGGTTTGGTGTTTCTGAAACAGGCAATGCAAGTAGATAGAGCAGCCGACGCTACTGAAAATCGGCTGAAAAAACAAATAGAAAAGGCTCTCAAATTCGTAAATACAACTAGCTTTTCTTTGTTTCTTCATAATAAGTTGATTTCAGGCCGTTATCTGAACTGCTTCTGAATTTCTGACAGGCCTTGGTTCAGAAATTTACAAGCATGCATCTCGGATCAAATTCAAAGGGGTCCGGAGATTAAAACTCCGAACCCCCTGACCTCTACAAAGATAATTCAGCCTTTGGTTCAGACTTCAGATCAAGCCCGTGGGAAACCATGGCCGTGATGATAATAAGAAGTGTCTAATCAGATCAAGCCCTAGGGGAAAATATTCGGGGTAAACATCTGTTGTTTCTGAGATCTTTGGACAGATGACAGCGGGAATTGCATGCATCTCTTCTTGCCACCAGATCGAGTGCAACGGGTTCCGAACCTACCTCGCTCGGGAGCAGACTGAAAGGAAAATACACTACCTTCGGAGACTACAACTCCGACCCCCCTTGACCTCGGTTCAGAACAAAACAGAATTGGTAATTCAGCTTCATGCGCTTCTGAAGAAGTGCAGCTGAATTACTGGAAGATTATAATTGAGGTTGCCTGTATCTTGCTAGCCGGAATCAAGCGGGAAGAAAATATATCCAACTTATTTTTTCTTCGTAATAAGTTGATTTCAGACCATTACCTGAAAACGCTTATGAATTTCGTAAATAAAGGCCGGTTCAGAAATTTATCTGAAACTGAATTACCATTTTGGCCGTTATCTCTTCTTGGCGACGAGACCAAATGCAAAGGGGCTCGGAGATTAAAACTCCGAACCTCCATGACCTCTGTTAAGAAGCACAAAGATAATTCAGGCTTTGGTTCAGACTTCAGATAAGTTGTTTCTGAAATGTTAATATAGTAGACACCATGGCCTCATGCATTTCTAACAGGCTTTGGTTCAGATGATTTGTTTCTGATTATCTAAAAAAGGAAGGTTTGTTTCTGAAATTTTTGGTCATTGACAGCGGTAATCGCATGCATCTCTTCTTGGCAACCAGATCAAGTTCAAGTGAGTCGGGGATTAAATTAAATTGCCGTCTCATGGGGGTTGGAGATTATAACTCCGAACCCCCTGACCTCGCTTGGAGAGAGACGGAAGCAAAATACACTACCTTTGAGGGTTTGGAGACTAAAACTCCGACCCCCCTTACCTCGGTTAATAAGAAAGCCAAAATGGGAATTCAGCTTCATGCACCTCTGAAGAAGTGCAGCTGGATTATAAATGGAAGATTATTCTTTAGTTTGCCTGTATCTTGGTCACCAAATACATACAGCTTTTTTTCCTCTTCGTAATAAGTTGATTTCAGGCAATTATCTGAAAAAATGCTTCTGAATTTCTGTCGTACTTAAGTAGGTTACATGTTGCTTCTGAAATGTGCCATCAGATCAAGCATTCAATCCCAAGGAAAAAAAACATTCAGACATGATCTGCAGCCTGCAGGTGCATCCTCTCCTTTTATTAATATCAGGATCAGGCTCCACCCCAAAACGTGCAGATTTAGCAACGTTGATGAACGAACATCTCTCACCAGATCACCCAGACTGTGCAGGTCAAAAGCACTTGAAAAAACACACACACATGTACTACACTGCAAGATGCTTGCCGACTAGTAGCTATAGCTAACAGCCACACTTTGAGACCTGCAGAAACAGCAGAAGAAGTTAGGTAGCACGGCCCGGCCGGAGAGACACACATGACCGCCGGTGAGGGTGAGTGCATGCGGGCGTTACGCTGTCACTCGCCACCGGCCGTACGTAGGGTAGGGACGAAATGGCAAAAACTGTCTTGGTTTATTCATTCTCCTTTTGACAATGGAGTGCTCGAGGTCCAGATCGAGCTGATCTTATCTCATCTTTCCAAGAATCGGGTGGTGTCACCTGCTACACCACCTAACCACGAGTGATTTTATCATCTTTGAGAAGAGGCAACATACAGACTCGATGCACTTCTTTTCATTACAAATTTTACTGCCATTAAAAAGATACGTGTATAACATTTTCTAATATAAAGTTTGATATATCATAATACCCTAAGGCATCGAGAGGTATCAAAATTGTACCCTATCTCAGTGGACAATTTTGTCTTGCTTCATTTTGGATGCATGAGATTTTCACGATTTCATTGGGAGATTTTTTACCTTTTTTTTTGCGAGGAAGAATTTTACACTGTTATTACGAAATTTTCATACGTTCTAGAACAGGATCCATTGCCTTTGGATGGATCTAGTACGGTCACGTACTCACCACGATGGAACAGTCTGAACTGCAGCAGGTAGATCCGTATATCAGCATCAGCTCACTACTGTAGCTAATACTTCGTAGCATCGTACAGTGCCATTCAAAATTCAGATAGCCGAACCACCGGTTCAGACAGCAACCGCACCCAACAATCCAATTCTTTCTTTCTCGTGCAATTTTGGTCGTCCCAAAATGCTTCGATCCAGCAATGGTTCTCGGTAAACGCAGCGTCAACATCCTGTTTAAAGTGACTACTAATTTGTACGAGTTGCTACTGATAATCCTGCACCCTGCAAGTGTTTTTAGAGGGAGAAAATATGATGTCTTTGCAGACTTAATTAGTAGTAGCAATTAAGCATCGATCTGCCTGCAGCACCAGCAGTGTAGTAGCAACCTCTCTTTTTCTTCTTTTATTGGTGGCGATCAAATCGGTGGTTTGGATTGGACGCGACGAGAAGAGACGCGCACCAAACGGATTAGTAGTAAAAAAGCAACCAACGCAATTATGCTTGTGTTGCAATCAAAGCAAATAATCCTAGCTGGAATACCAGTTAGTTGATGTGCTGAATTAAATAATGGAGCAGCAGATTCGTTAATGATCTGAAACTTTTTGCACTGATGTGATGCATCTGAAATTCAGAAAACATGAAACTTTTTCTTTAACCCGAAAGGCTGAGAAACATGAAACTTAACTGCTACCTTTTCTTGTGAACACAAAGTATATTCATGCAATTATAAATTCATTTCATTCTCACATTAACTTTATTCTTTTATGTTTTGCTGCATAAATCAGGGTTAACAAAACTGTCACTCGTTTTTTTTTTAATCTTCAACCTGACATTTTATTACCGAGTTGGATCAGTTGTATCACAATCCACTAGAAGTTGAAAACTGTCGCTCGGTTTTCATGAAACCGTTGATGGTCAGTTTGTAAAAACTAAACAGTTTTAGCGGGTTTTGAACTTTTGATATGGATTTAACAATAAGATGCTGGTTTTTATCGACTAATTTGCTCTGTCTTGGGTAAACCGGTGAGAGCTATTTTCACTTAAAACGGGAAGGTAAACCCTAACACCAATCACCTTGAGTAGGACTAGAAGCACTCCCTCCCTACTTAAAAAAATCTAACCTATTATAGAATAAGACATAATCTAGATTTGTTCCAATCTTATACTAGGTTGATTTTTTTAGAGAGTAATTATTAAATATCCCTCCATCCGAAAAAAATCTACACTCGATCTGTCCCAAAATATAGCAATCTAGGATAGGATGAGACACATCGTCATGTCCAGATTCGTTGTTCTAGGATGTGTTTTATCATGCCTCATGTCCAGATTCGTTGTTCTAGGATGTGTTTTATCATGCCTCATGTCCAGATTCGTTGTTCTAGGATGTGTCTCATCCTGTCTTATGTCCAGATTCGTTTTCTAGGATGTGTCTCGTCCCGCCTTATGCTCAGATTCGTTGTTTTAGGATGTGTCTCATTCCATTTTAGGTTGCTATATTTTAGGACGGATGGACCAGTGACTCAATATTAGTGGCCATGCATCTTTAAGGAGAGAGTAAGTGCTCCTACTACTCTTTCTCAATGCTTGCAGGAAATCTGTCTTTCAGGACAGGTAGGTTGGTGCCGAGTCGTGTCCTGTCCCAAGCTGAAAAGGAGTACTCCTACAACTACATGGCTGCACGGTAGGAGACGACGACTCGACGAGATACGCACACAGGCACGCAGTACTGTAGTAGTATAGGCACTGGTACCAGGCTAATATCAGCAAGAGAACAAAAGTCACACGAGATGCCTGTCGGTAGCCGTAGCGAGTAGTTTAAAACTTTTAATACTGCAAGAATCAAAAGTCAACCTACGAGTACTAGTACGATCTTTGTGTTGTCCACCGCTCTCATCTTCCAAGAAAGCTTTGCCTTTATCAACTCTTCTCCATGCATAATTAACTCAGTTCCATCTAGCAACATGCCAGTACAAAATGCAGGTGTTTGTTGATCCTGCCATTCATAGACCAAGTCTGATGATTGTTTATGCATAGATCAATCATACTATATAGTAGGCTCGTTAGATCAATCTTATACGGTTAGCAACTTTATAGCAGCAAAATCAAACCAAGTTTTGTTTAAAACAGGTTCTGTTGCTTCTGGGTTCAAAATAAGTTATGAGCTGGCCTAATCTTTTTCAGTCACTGTGTACCTCGTGCCCCCAGTGTCGGTGCTTACCAGTGTTGGGCACTTGGCTTTTTTGAGAAAAGCCACATGTTCTTTTTTTTCTCTTTTATGTTCTTTTTTTTCTCTTTTATGAAAATACGATGACATGGACGATGACATGTACAAGGCATTTTCGTCTTTTCGACAAGGAAGAAAGAGAAAAAAAAAGAAGGGAGAAAAAAATAAAAAGATTCCATGTCATCATCCACATAGCGTGTTACGTAGGTAAGACCATGGTCAAACGCGGCTTTGGACCGGGATGATACAATAAACCAAGTTTAAGAACCTTGATGTATGCTTTGCAAGTTTGTGGATCTAAGTGAAACCTCCTGACAAGTTTAAGGACTGCCGGTGCATTTTACTCAAAAAAGAATGTGCAGCAAAATCAACAGCATGTGATTAGCTTCCATTAACTCGGAAAGGCCACATAATATTCTCCATGCGACTGCAAGAATATTGTCGCCTCGATATTCATGTCCAACAAAATCAACAGCCATGTGATTAGTACAGTATGAGCATGTGGCTTTTCAACGAGCTCAGCATTTTCCATGATATTTCCATCTAGTGCTCCTTGTATATTTATGATTCAATCGTAATCTTCAGAATGTTTGGACCTATATGATGTTAGACTGACTGACTCTCCTCCAGAAGGTCAGAAACTCCCCAGGTGATCTGATATACTCACAACTTGGACGTGGCATTCAGCAAAATTCTCTTCAGAGTTCAGACATAGGGATCAGTGCTCCAAACTCAAATATCAGAAACTGTTCTTTTGCTCAAGGAAAGAACAGCTTGGAGTAGAGCAGCTCATTCCATGTGTCCTGGAGACCTGGGAGGCACCAATGCGTGCAATCCGCGTAGCTCTTCGGGTTCGCGATCTGCTCCGGGGTTAGCGGGTTCCACTGCTTCTTGTATATCTGAGTGTGAGCATCTTTGCGGTACTCGGAAAGCTGGGTGATGTTGACGATCCCCACAGGGACCTTAGATGTGCTGAACACTTCTCCAATGACGCGCATCAAGCCCTTGCTAGTTCCTGGACCCCAGTATGACAAATCTCTGATCGGAGTAGTTTGGTTGTAGCAATTTCCATCCGAATCATCACCCCAATCTTTGCTCCTGAGGGCAAAAGATAGAAATACAACTCAAAACTTTGATATATAATCAGATACCTGTGCGGTTTCAGCATAGGATGATTCCAGTCTGGTGTAACTTTACAACTTAACTGTATAATCATGTTTTGTGTACGTGCATATGATGTTTTACCTGGTATGAGTGGGTGACATTGTGACGAAAAAGACCCTTGAATTTCTGGGGTTCATGTTGTTCTCCACCCACCTCACGACCGCATTCAGTACCATCCCATAGGCTTCCTCTGTTTCCATTTCTACAATATCCTTACTCTTATCTTCAAAAGAACCTTGCCTGGAAGTAATGTGTTCAGAATTAACATTAGTATCTGATCAACTCCAGCTTAAATAAGTAATCTTGTGGTCTAGACAATCTACAACTTCTGCATTTCATGAATTCAATAATCATGCACCTCTGAATTTAAATAAATCAATTAGCAATGCAATGCTGGTCTGGAAAAAAGCAATGCAATGTTCAACAAAATATGATCTTCTCTGCTGAAAATTTCCACATCCTCTCAAATTTTATCTATCCAAAGACAGTGCATTTGAAGTGTAGGAGAACAAGAAATATGAGAAATGTTCTGAAACATACCACATATAATGATATAAATGGAAGGATAAATGAATATTAATGTGCTCTTCAAATATAATGTAAGCTTTAGCCTTCATGTGAGTAATAACTTGTAACAATAGAAGATACTTACAGAATTTTCATCTTTTGTCCAGTCATCCACCAAAGGTAGCTGTTGAATACCAAGATGTCAGCTCCCTTCCAAAACCTGGCATGCTTTTCAAGGGCTGTCCCCCTTACAATTCTATCCGCAATACGGTGAACAACAGCATCATCAGAATTTGATTCAGCTAGAAAGGGAGCCCAGTAGAACTCAATGGTGGCATTATAGTTCTAGCAAAAAGAGAAAAACCAAAAGCATATTCAGTGTGAATGAGACTATTCAGCAAGCTATTAGGATGGAAAACTCATTATATAATTAAAAAATAGATGTAAAATATTTCTAAATTTGGATCCTGTTGCTCTCTTTGTGTCTGCTCTAGCAATGTTTTGAGAAACATTTTTAAATTTCGCAGTAGGTTCAGTAATCATGAACACATTTTAAGTTACAATCTGTCCTGTAAGCTTCCATTAGAAAAAGAAAACCATAAAACAAAACAAACAAGGGATACCTTTGCTCTGAAAACCGTAAGCGAGTCAAAAGTTTCCATGGACTTTGAGCTCTCAGGGATGGACCGGTGTAGGAGGCACACCAATGACACATACTGTCCACGGTTCAGAGAATCTCCAACAAACATCATGCGCTTCCCCCGCAGCATCTCCAACATAAGAGTTGCATTAAAGCTGCAATGCATGCCATTATTAGGCATTAGAATGGGATAAGCAGAACCAACTGAAGAGCTTGATCAACAATTTAGCATTTCGGTTGTGGTTCAACTGCCGCTTTCATGTACAGCACTAAACTGCTACCATGTTGAGATTCGTTTAACTATTTAAGAGCACCTGATATTCTTTCATAAATATTTTTTTTCAACATTATTTAAGAGCTGTCTAGCGAGTTCAGTGCCACATAGTATCTGTCCAGGCCCAGATGGTGACCCAAGACCTGGGCCAGCTGCCAGCCCATTGCATTTTGTGCTGGGCCATGTCAATTACATGGTGGAAAAAAAGCACATTAAAGTGGGCTTTGAATCCCAGGCCTTGGGCCATGGCCCGTAGTATGACCCACATATGAGCCAAAATTTTTTGAGGAGCTGTGCACAAGGAAAAAATTACAAACAAGTTGGTAAGTTCAGGCAGGCAGTTGGGGGAAAGAATCCATCTACATGCATATCTGGATGCTCATGCACCATGGCATATATTTAAAGCGCACTACAATTTGTGCTTAGAACTTAGAAGAATAGGGCATTTGTTTTGTTTAAATTTGAAAACTTGTAGCAACCTCAAGGTACATTAAATGGACAAAATGGTGCATGAACATCCAGTCCTCCATATGTGTACAGACTATAGATGCGCCAAAACTGCATGAATTATCAAATGCACATTTAAATTGAACCAAATGATAGTCTAAGGCAAAGATTAGGATGAGGCCAGACAGCAACAGTACACCAAACGGCCCCCCCTCATCATCAGAACTATCGCTGAATCAAGACCAGATCCGCAGAAAGAGAAGTATAATAAAGGAACCCCCCCAAACCTTGCAAGATGGAGATGGGTCCATGCCTCCATGCCATTGCATTAACATTAAGCCAATGCAGAGCACACGCAAAGGAGTTCCCTTGCCATGGCCGGCCGGCCCTCATCCTCCTCTCCCTCAAACCCCCATGCTCTCCCATGTGACACCTGCTCCCTCAATGTCACACAGCTGCGACAAACTGGAGCCCTCATGTGATTATGCAAATGCAGCGAGATGCCCACGAGAGTTTGGCACTTTCACTTGTTTCACCGTGACCCAGTGAGTATGGTTGAACCAGTCAGCAGCCACGGCTGGCTGCCGGCGGCGAACGGCTGCACGGTGCACTGTGCTCCGTCGGCCGGGCCGGCCATGGCTGTACCGGTTCAACGAGGCTGGCCTGTTCTACAGTAGACGCCATGTTAGGCAAGGCCCGCCATTGCAGCCAAGAAGAGCAGCAAGAATCATCAATGCGCATTGCTACGCGGCTACACCAGGTTGCTGCCGCGCGTCGAGCCGTGGCGCCCTCGCCGCACGAACACGTCTCGCTGTCTCGCACCAAGCCCACCGCCCACCGCCCACCGCCAGCCATGCCGTACCGCTCACCTCACCTCACCTACACCCACCCACCCGCCTGAGCCGACACCCGACAGCCCGAGACACGCGCCGCGCTACTCGGCCGCTCGCCCACGCAACGCGCGGTCAGGTCTCCCGGCAAAATCTCGCCGGAGTTTCTACCGTTTCGCGGCGATTCCGCCTGAACGGCTGAACCTGAAACCATGGCCAGGCAGGAGACCCACGTGACACGTCGATTTTTATTCAGGGATAATATTGAGTAGTAACTAATCTACTCAACATCAAATCTTTTTTTTGGAACATGCGTGCTCTCTTCGCTCGATCTAGTTGGTGCGCGTTCAACAACTCGATTTCTTTACCAAATGTTCTTCTTCTTCTTCTTCTTTTTACAGTTCTTTAATGCAAAAGATCGAACTAAATCAGGAGGGAATTTACTGCCATTGTTCGCGACGCCGACGCCGACGAGAAGGTGACCGGAGAAGGAAAAAAGGGGGGGGGGGGGGGTTACCTGGGGAGCGAGCAGCCGCGCGGCTGCCACCGCCAGTGCTGGTACGCCGTGTCGGGGCGGCCGTGCGCCTGGCACGTCAGCTGCGGCTGGATGTAGGGGCACTCCTCCTCCTCGTACCACGGCCGCGCCGCCTCGTCGTACACCCACTCCCCCACCCCGACGTCGCACCCCGCCGCCGCCGCCGCCCCCACCGCGAACGGCGGCACCACATCGCCGCCACCGGACTGGGCAAAGAACCCGAGTTATCAGCAGGCATTGGCAGATAGAGGATTGATACACTGATACAGAGGGAGCTAGCTAGCGAAGCTTACGCTGCTGCCGCCGCCATGGTGGTGGCTCGGGGCGCGGGGGCGGGCGATCTGGCGGCGGTGGGGAGGAGGGCGGGTGAGGAAGGGTTGGTGGAGCGTGGAGGAGAAGTCCTTGAAGTAGAGGACGGAGACGAAGGTGATGAAGGCGAGCGTGAGCGCGTACGACGTCAGGAAGGGGCTCCTCGTCCTTCCTCCTCCATGCCCCGCCATGCCGCCGTGCTGCGGCTTCATCATCTCCTCCCCGCCGCCGCCGCCCCGCGCATCGAGCTACCTCCTCTTGCTCTGATCTGATGATCTCGGTGAGGATCTGATGGGATCTGGAGCAATGGGAGAAGGAGAAGATGGATGTGTTCTTGGCTCTGCAGTCTGCAATGAGAGGAGAGGAGTGGCTTTTGGTGATGGGGCCTCCCCCTTTCTTGCACTTTGGTGGAGTAGGCTTGAAAATGGTTGAATGGCGTGGCCGACTACTGGTTACTGGTAGTGGGTAGAGAAGTGCAGAGGTGGGTGGCTCCAGCTGAAAACCTCAAAGTAGTAGTAGATGAGAGAATTGGAACAATTAACAAATACTCCTCCTCTACTTTTTTTTTTCGGTTAGAGGAAACAAATTGGATATTTATTAATTGTATTATAATGATTTGATAATGAACTGGAGTAATTGGATGGTCATTTATTGTATTGTAATCATCTGATAATAACAGCTGTCACTATGAAGAGAAAACCACCAAGTTAAAATAACCCTCTACCTTTTCAGTTAACAAATTGGTTGTTCATTAATTGTATTATAATTATCTGATAATAACAGCTCTCTCTGTCAAGAGAAAATCACCAAGCTAAAATAACACTCTACCTTTTTGGTTAACAACTTAACAAATTGGATGTCATTAATTGTATTGTAGTTACCTCCTAACAACAGTTGTATCTGTGAAGAGAAAATCACCAAGATGAAATACTCCTATACCTTTTTTCAGTTAACAAACTGGATGGTCATTAATAGTATTATAATTATCTGATAAGAACACTCCTACCTCTTAAGTTAGGAAATTGGAATCTCTCTAATTGTATTATAATCATCTGATAGTAACAGCTGACTCCTTGAATTGAAAACCACCAAGTTAAGGTAACTGCTAGCAAGAGGTAATCTTGATATCATTTGCTACTTGCAACTAGTAGTACAAAAATACTCAAGATTCATTTTTTTTGTACGGAAGTGGTTTTGTCTGAACAATGGTCGTTTTCAGAGGTTGCTAAACACCTGTTTAATAGTACTAGTACTTCTACTTGTGTAGCCAAGCAACATCATCCTGCCCTCCTTGGCACGGAGAGCTTCCCTTCCACGTGTTCTGGGTAGCTAGGGCCACATCAGACGAAAAACAATATCCTGAATTTGCTGGTCCATTGCTCTGGACCATTTGGTTGGTCCTTTCAGTTTATGAGAACGATTCTTTGCAAAGTTGCAAGAAGATTGATGGTGATTAATGAAGTATAGCACTAGTGATTGGAACAATATTAATTTCAGAAACATTGCTGCTTTTATGTCCCCAACGCCCCAACTACTATCGGTTGCAGTATCTTCATATTCCAAAATAGTTGTGGTGGGGTAGTGAGCAATAACATTTTTCATAATTCAGATCAGAAAGCCTAGCGTTTTATCAAAATAGCTGTGTTTCTTGAACACAAGTTCGTCAGTTCTCACAATCTCACTTGCATGTGAAAATTCAGACAATCTTTTCCTTTCTGCTTGTGCAGAATGCATGGAGGCTAATTTCATTTGACTACTGACGACCTAAATTTGATGGATATGTCTGAACTTTTTTGGCTGATGAATCATTTGCTGAGTTCTAATCATTCAGGCAGATGCCTCTTTCAGTCTTGTAGTTGCTGACACGCCTCACTCAACAGCGTCGTAGCTTAGCCACTGCATGTCTGTTAGTACTAATAATAATTTGTTTTCTAACACCAAATGGCACATTGGCACCACATGATTGGTCAGAAAACGAAGTTGAAATTCCCCAAACCTGATGCCTACTTGTTCCAAAAATATTCAGACACTCCCGGGCTCTGGCGGAGGGACGACCAATGTCAACGCGCTGCGCTAATCACGCGCGGTCAGACGTTGACTACCATGAAAATGCCACGCCAGCTGACACGTCACCCACAGGCAAGTAGGCCCACTGGACTTTATCAGTGGGCCGAGATATGGGCCTTCGTCGACCGACAGAGATAGTGGGCCAAGAAAAAGTAAGTAGCCAGAGTTATGGGCTTAATGGAATTATGGGCCGTGTAGGCGATGAGGCCCACTAGAGCCCACAAAAAGCCCAAGAGGAAGGCCCCGTGTCCCCGTCTCGTCTTCCCCTTCCTTCCTCTCGTTCCCCTTCGCTTTGCCCTCGTGCGACCCAACCAATCAGGCGGCGCTAATCCTCGCCGCCGCCGCCGCCGCCTGCCATGGCCGCCCGCCGCGGCCCGCACGTAATCAAGCTGCACGACTCCGCCCCGGCGCTGCTCGGCCGCGCGCCGATGCCGCCGCCGCCTGGCCCCCGAGACGAGCTCCCGCCGCCGTCGGCCGTGCTGGTCCACCACCCACGAGGGGGGCTCGCGCCCCACCCCGCCGTCGCGGCGCTCGAGGACCGGCTCGCCGTCCGCGACCGCGACATCCAGGAGCTCCTCGTCGACAACCAGCGGTTCGCGGCCACCCACGTCGCGCTCCAGCAGCAGCTCATCGCGGCCCAGCACGAGCTCCGGGTGGTGTCCATCGCCGCCACGAGGGCGCGTGCCGAGCGCGAGGATGAGGTCCGCGCCCTTGCGGAGCAGGCCGCGCGCATAGAGGCCGAGGCTCGGGCCGCCGTCGCCGCGCGCGCGGAGGTCGACCAGGTCCACGCGGACGTTCAGGTGCTCGCCGGCGCGCGCACTGAACTCGTGGACCGGTTGCAGGACCTCCGCGGGCAGCTCGCGCGCTTCCAGGCCGAGGCGGGTAAGACTGAGTCCGTCCGTGCCCAGGTTGAAACCATGCGCCGGGAGATCCAGAAGGGCAGGTATTCTGTTGGTTTATCTCAACCCCCAGTTTTAATGCTACCATTTCAACACTAAATGTCTGCTTGGATTATTCGTGATTTCGTGTTTACATTTTGTGAATGCACATGAGTGTTCCATCTCATGCATTGCAAGGAAGAAATTGTGCACTTCATAGCTTAACTTTAGGCCTGATGAGGATAATGTTTCACAGAGTTGGCGTGAGCCCGTGACTTGAGCACATTGCTTAAGCGAGTTGTGTTCTTTGTTAGTCAATCGAGCTGCTTAGAGCTTCTACATTTTAGCAAGTCAGTTTGTGTTTAGTTAGAGTAGGTTGATGATGCCTCAGAATTTCACTTAGACATGTAGCCTGTTTAGATGCTAGTATATTTGATCAATCTGGTTTTCCAGAACCTTTCGATTTCTGCTTGCTTATGTTTGTATGAGTCCAAACCTGTGGCCTATACATGATCACAGTACTGTGTTTCTTTGTCCAGCAAATTGCTAGCTCTATATGGCACTGTTGTCATTTTAAGCATAATTGAAGTGTATTAGATAGGATGTCCAGGGTGAGTTGTTGAACATGCTTTGCTCATGATTTAGCTGGAGACTAGAAATCACTTCTATTTCACATGTTATCAGCAGTAGTTATTTTCACAAAAAATATTCACATATACCTGACTAAGTCCAGATAGTCTAGGCCTAGGAATAGGATTCTTGCTAAGGGTGTTAATTCTGATAAGCCTAGTTTCCATGGATATGCCACTGCATCGGCGCTTCCACGCACAATTCTTAACTCTTAGTCACAACACTTTCAAGTTCGAAATTACTAAAATGAGCTTTGCTCATCATAAGGCATAAATTATAATATTGTATGCTGGCAGATGATTCTTTGATGATTGGAGTGGTAATGTACTGCCCTTGAAAGATGAAGGTGGTGAGAACTACCTATTGCTTTCAAGCACTCCCAGCTAGTGTTCTAAAAAGTGGTCGTGCAGCCGCTTAAATATGGATGGCCATATCCCATCCATGCATGACCATGAACCAAACACACCCTAAGTGTACAAGGTTGCCAAACCTTTCTGAGTATTGTAATCGCTTCGTTTTCAAGGCTTATGATGTTAAGTGGGCAGCACATGCGGATATGCAACCCATTTACCGCATACAAGGCCGATTAAGGATGTATTTGGTTGGAGGGATTAGAGTGTATAGGATGCGATAGTACATGATACAACTCAGTTATTTGCTTAGAGGTATGGAAACGTACAACAGTTTGTCTGGTTACTTGTATGATATGGGATGGTATCGTACGGGAATTCGTTTGGTAGGATGAATGAATTTGATTTGGTAATACAAATTAACCCCATACAGTAATGAGCTCCATCTTTTGCCTTTCAGCTTATTAGCCGTTGCCAAAATTTGAATTTTAAAACTTAATTTGAGAGTTTATTTTGAGGTTTTTTCATCGTAGTTTATTTTTCAGCATTGGTTTTAAATCGCTAAGGACACACATATAAAAGTTTTACCCACAAAATTATTTTTGATTGCTGATAAGCCATTATGGCTTATAATCAGCATATGCCAAACGATGGGACTGATTATTTCCTTTTCATCTATCTTGTCATTGCATTTTTTTTCCTTTTTTTTCTTAAGCTTCAGAGATCAGCTATTAATGATGTGTTGGGTTTTCACTTTTGATTAGTCCAGATGTCTGCCTCCTCCTCCTAGGCAATGCAGCTAGTCCACCAGCGAATGTTTGGGTGAACACTGTCCCGTACGGCATTATTTTTGATTTTTTGTCGAACAAGACCATCCAGGATTTTGAGATAATATTCTCTAAAGTTGGATCCTACCATCCCAGACGGATTGATTTGGTTCATCCAACCAAACACTGCGATCAGCCGAATCCTTGATTGATCCTATCCATCTTGACCTTCACGTATCAAATGGCCCATGTACTTTTGTATGACTTTCATCCTATAAACCTATGTTCATTGTTCACACAGAAAGATGGGTTAGATGGTAATATTGTATTGTATTAGTGTATAAAAATGCATATGTATGTTCAATATATGTGTGTGTATATACTTCACATTTTAGATTAAAAAAACCCTTAAAACCACTTACAAGGTCGCTTTCCGCTTAAGCACTACAAGTTGTAGTGACCGCACCACACCGCTTACCGCTTTTAGAACCTTGCTCCCAGCTGATGCAGAATTCTGGTGTAGGGTTGTTGGATCATTTAGGACGTGTCTTGAGCCCCAATTCTGGTACTACCTTTTCACACATTCACAAAGCTCACCAGTCAGCAAGCTTTCTCTGAGATATTTTATGTCATTTGAACAATGCCAATGCATTGTGATGGTTCTCAAATAAATACACCGGAAGTTCTGAGTTTAAGAAAAGAAAAAGAAAACCCTCTAGTCTAGATAATTTCCCAAATGGCCTCGGTTAGGGGATTTCCAGGTAAGGATCATAGTGTGTAGCTGAGGCTGGTGGGATGGGAGGGAGGGAGTCCTGCTCTCAAGCTTGTGGAGAAGCCATGATGGCTGGCACACCAGCCGTGTGGGGCACACCCTTTGCTGTGCGCCTACCACTGTAGGTGTGGACCCACATGACGCAAATATAGATATATCATATTAATCAGCGACTACATCTGCACATGTGCAAATAAGGCAGTACTTTACCAAAAGATCCCAATTAACACATACAGGTCTATATAAATCCACCCACAAATTATCCTAATTGACTGGCATAGAATGCGCCATCACCACCACCAACTCCTTTTTAAGCAGTACAGGTCCAGATCTATGGATAAGCTATTTTCTCTAAGGATCTTTTAAATTTTGGCAGGGCTGCGGTTGAATTTGAAAAGAAGGCACATGCTGATAACCTTGAACAAAGTAAAGCAATGGAGAAAAATATGATTGCTGTAGCCAGTGAGATTGAGAAGCTAAGAGGAGATCTTGCAAATGCTGAAAAGCGGGCCACTGCTGTCACCGCAACAGCACCTGTAGCTAATCCTGGTATTGCACTGGATCTCAGGAGTCTATTGTCACTTCCCTTTTCTGTGTAATCGGGGTGGGTAGCCTTAAATTATTATATTCCCAGTTTTTTGCATAGCCTTTTTTAATAGATTACAATTACTGAACCCAATGGCAAATGTGAAAGTTTCGTTCATAAAATTGCTAGTTAGGGAGACATCATGGGATTGCAGCATTTGCTTTTAGTAGTCAATTAGTCAATTTGCAGTTGATGCCCTCCATTCTGAAATATAGGTACTTAGTTACTTGTGGGAATCTATACCCAGTCCAATTAGACAATTTCCTGCCATGGCTAACAAAGCTCCTTTCAACCATATAGAAACCTGTAAAGGCATTGGTATTTGGTAAGAGTGTTAACTTGCAAGGGTGATTGGTTGGGAGAGGTTTAGAAGCATAGCATAAAAGCCACTATCCATGTCTCTTAGCTTCTTTCAATAGGTAGGCTTGAACTTCTCAAAAAGTTGTATGGAGATATTTGGCTGGACACTATTGAATTGTCACTCTGAATTGCATTGATTTGATTGTATCATTATTTTGAATTGGTTCTTTCATATCCTATTTCAGGGTTCCCTACAACATATGGCAATTCTGAGGCAACATATCCAGCACCTGCAGCATATGGTAACTCTGAGACAACATATGCACCAACGTATGGTAATACTGAGGCAGCATATGCATCAACATATGGAAGTTCTGAGGCAGCATATGCAGCAGCATATGGAAATTCTGATGCTTATAGCACTAATCAGGTTGGTTACATTCCCTTATCATTGTTCTCTTGTTTCATTTCTGGTGTCAAGTATATCTTTTTGCTTTCATTGTTATGCATGTCAAAGGATACGCACTCAAGGACTGAAATCCATTATTACTTGAACAGATGTATTTTAGTTAGTAGTTTGAATATTTGCTCCTCTTTTTATTTCACTGTTGGTCTTGAAATGATTCGTTGTGCCATGTATTGTTTCTGAAGTTTTCCACCCCTCCATAAGGAATTCAACGAAATATGTCTTTTTAGTGAAGGAAAACATGGATGGTAGCCCATTGTATTCTATAACCTATAGGTGTAACTCTTTTACATCTTCCCCTGTCAACGTCAACAGCATTAGGTATTTACAAGCTACATTTTGTGGTCTATGCTATAGGTTAATTAGTATGGGTACCACTTGCTCTAAACTGTAAAGTGTAAACATATGCTCTGTTCTATTAGGGACTAATAGTTCCTGGTGAGGGAAAACCATTAAAGCTTCTCTCCCTTAATTGTTGGATCATGGGTGTATTTTGAATTTGGTTTCTGTTCCAGGCTTGAAAATACCAAATTATGCTCCAACTTCCTAGTGCCTCTATATATTATTAGTGATTGCTGTGTCTTCTTTATCACAGGCTCATACCCGCACCGATGGCAATCCTCATTACATGGCTCCACCTGTTCATTATGCGCAGTATGACAGCCAGCACACCAATGTGCAAAGATGAATGATGAGTCAGGGTAGCTTTGACCTTGGGTGTAATCCTGGCATTTGTCAATGTAGTTGCTGGGTTCACCAAATTTAAGGTTATCTGCAGGAATTCATTCCATGGAAGTGATGGATACACTGTTTTTCCCCTATCTTTTCATTAACCAGTTCCGGAATGCTCGAGCCAGTTGCCTGAAGTCAAAATCTTTCTGCAAATTGTCGATGTATCACCCTGATGAACCATGGATTAGTGAGACCGCAGCTCAGTCTTTTTAGTCAGGGATTGTGATTATTCGCAAATGTAGTGCTGCAGCATTTTCCTTTGTAAATATATAGTGGATAATGGTCCAATGGTAACAAGCCGTTCTCATGCATGATGCGTTACATTTTGTTTGCCTATGAAATATGCAAACCTGTTCATGCTCTGAAGTCTGAACAAGAGTAGTTGCCTATCTATTTGATTAGATGGTTTACTGATTACTGGAATTCTGCCAATTCAAAAGCTTATCAACTGGAGTAGTGTTTTTGCACGAACGTTGTAAATTATTTGTCGCAATAAAAGGGCAGATGATTATCAGGGAAATGATATCTGGCTCAAAATAAATAAATAAACAACCAATAACACCATGACCGGCCCAGTGGCCCGCCCAATAGACTAGGCCCCTTCTTCGATGGCCCATTACCACCTCCTTGCTTGTCAGCCCATGAGGCTGAAAGCTAGCCCAACCAACGACCGTCACGAACTCCAACTCTGAGTCAGAGTCAGAGAGCGGGGAAGCAGAGCGAAGGGGAAGGACTCCGCTCCCTCGGTTTAGTACCACCTCGCGGAGTCGAGGAGGTGCGGGTGGGAGAGATGGGTATAAGTAGAGAGCCCCGTGCAACGTTGCTCCATACTTACCTGGACGGGGTCAACGGGCGATCAAGAAGGCTCGTGGCCTAGGCCAATGGCCCACATTGCACTTGGTGGGCGCGTTGGCTTACCATCTCCCCAAGTGGGAGAGTGGACGTCATAATTTGTGGTAGGGGGGGTACGCGTCCGCGCGGCCCCTGCCAAGTTTCAAAATTAAATGTTGGTACTTTGCTAGCGTTGGCTTGCAATTGGAAAATTATGAAGTCAAGTCCCTCTTAATAGGAAGTAGTAATAAATTTCTGAAACTTACTCAATTTTCTGACTGAAAAATTGTGTGGGGTTTAGATTAAGTTTTCAAAAAAAATATGTGGTGGTTTTTGTCCTTCTAACAATTATTAGTAAGTCCAACAAAAATAAACGTTCAAAAGTGAATTTAAATGTGTCCTTCCTATAAACATTCTAGTCCTCCAAATACATTTTAGTGTCCAAAGCTAAATTTAAATTTCTGTCCTCCTTAAAGTATTTATGTCCAAACCTATAATTAAAATTTTGTCCTACTTAAGTCCTCCATAATTATTTTATTGTGCGATGCTGTGCTGTTTTTCAAATCAGGCGACTCTTACGGTTTTCTAAAAATCAGGAGACGCTTAGGCCTCTTTGAATCGCAGGGTAGAAAAAACGGAGGAATAAGAAAAACACAGGATTCAAAACGGAGGAATAAGAAAAACACAGGATTCTGATAGTAATTGAAGTATAAAACAGAGGATTGCAAAACACAAGAATGATCGTTTGATTGGAGCGTAGGAAAAACGCAGAAATTAGATGAGAGAGAAAAACACAGGATTCTGATAGTAATTGAAGTATAAAACAGAGGATTGCAAAACACAAGAATGATCGTTTGATTGGAGCGTAGGAAAAACGCAGAAATTAGATGAGAGAGATAGACTCAAAGGAAATTTTCCAAGAGGTTGGAGCTCTTGCTAAATTTCCTCCAAAATCCACATACAAGGAATTTCATAAGATTTAGAAAGCTTCAATCTTTTGAATCAAAGGGCCAAATAGAAAAAAATTCCTATAGGATTTAAATCATATGAAATTCCTAAATAAATCCTTTGATTCAAATGGGCCCTTAGGCTGCGTTCGCTTGGGTGTGATATAGGGTGAGAAAGCACCTCGTTTTCCACGCGCACGCTTCCCAAACTATTAAACGGTGTATTTTTTATAAAAATTTTTTATAGGAAAGTTGCTTTAAAAAAATCATATTAATTCATTTTTAAAATTTAAAATAGTTAATACTCAATTAATCATGCGCTAATAGCTCACATCGTTTTACGTATCTTCCCAATCTCCTGATCTCTTTCTCCTCAAACACACCCTTAGATTTCGTTGGTCGGTTTGAGCCGTTTCAAATCTGGTCTTCCAGCGCGACGCTGCCCGCCTCGCCATCGACCTCCACGTGGCGGGGTGACGTGTCACTCCGACCCTTTATCAAAAGTCGCCATCCGATATTTCCGATGTACTATCAAAACTCGAATCGTCTCTTCCCACTTCGCACCCACACAAGTAAAGCTCCCAAAATCAAATTAAATTAAAGAGAAAAAAAAGAAGAAGAGAAGGGCAAATCGATTCGCCATGGCTGCTCCCCGCACGCCTCTCCCCCTCGTCCTCCTCCTCGTCTCCGCCGCGCTCCTCGCGGCGGCTCCCCTCTCGCCGGCGGCCGAGACCGGTGCCGCCGCGTTCGACGTCCGCCGCCACCTCTCCACCGTCACCAGGTACGCAGCTGCTTCGATCGCTGATCTGAGCATTTGTCATGTGGTGGTGGTGGGATTTTTGTTAGTTTTGGATGATACGGTGTTTGCATCCTTTTACTCAGTCTGGGACCGTGGAGCTAGGGTTTGGCGGGGATGGAAAAGGGTTTAATCCCTTTGTGATTTTTCAGGTACGATGTGGCGAGGGGATCCAATAGTGTGTCCTCCGCGCCGTCTATGTCGGATGAGTGCCGCGTGATCCACCTCAATCTCGTGGTAATTACCATTCCTGCATTTTTCATTTTGCTTTCGCCACACAGTTTTAGTAAATTCACCCATGTTAGTTCAGTGTTGTGTGAAGGAGATAGAGATTGCAGTAATAGCCATCATGAACGGTTCTAAGGGCTTAACTTAGTTTGCCAGAATTTCTCTGAACGATTAGCAGTCCAAAAACTAATTTAAATAGAACAATGTGCACTGCTGTATATGTTTAGTCTTTTCACTGTTGGTTACATTTCCTCTCCAAAATGCTGAAATGTACTTCAGCCATGATAAAAAAATGGCAGTTGATTTGGTGATTTTTGTTCTCCAGGCAAGACATGGGACTCGCGCACCTACCAAAAAGAGAATCAAAGAGCTGGATAGACTGGCGGTTCGGTTGAAGGCTCTTATCGATGAAGCAAAACAAGGGCCTGAAAGTGACTCCCTGAAAAAAATTCCTTCATGGATGAAAGGGTGGGAGTCACCCTGGAAAGGTAGGGTGAAAGGTGGTGAGCTGGTCAGTGAAGGGGAGGAAGAGCTATACAACCTTGCTATCAGAGTCAAGGAGAGGTTTCAAGGCCTATTTGATGAGGAATATCACCCTGATGTGTATTCAATAAGAGCAACTCAGGTCAGCTCAATGAGGTTTATTGCATTTGCTTAATAAATTATTATTTTTCAAAATACTAAGGAATCATGGGTTCATGGCTTTACAATCTTATCATCTGACAAAATACCACGAAATATGGAGCCTTAGTATAAGCCCAGTTTACTGTGAGTCAGATGTGGCTGGAACATAGTAACTTTTAATCCCAGCTTTGCTATGCGATTAATCATAGTTAAACAATTTTGTTTACTTTTACATCTACTCGCGCTACACTTTCTTTTGACAACTCCTCTGCTCTCTGCCGCCATTATCTGCTTTAGAACTTGGAACAAGAAAGCTGGAAACCAGTAAAACTAAAAGCCTCTCCTGCAGCTATTTTGTCTTCTTTATTGTGTACACTGAACTATCTTATTTAAATTAATTTTAATCATAACTTGTGGGGCCTCTTCTTGTATAATGCCTTAAATTGATGCTATACCCCAGTTTTCAGAAGCTCCCAACTTCACATGCGATGGCTTTGGGCTATAATACACACATTTTTTGCACACTTGAGCCAAAATGCCTACATTAGAGGGCTATTTTGGCTTGCTGTTTTTTATTTATTTTAGAAAGTAAACATAATATGGTTGATCTTCATAAGAGTGAATCCTACTGCCTGAAATGCACATATAGTTTCAACATGTAGCACAATTCTCTGTTGACTTTGTTTAATGATCTTAAGCTGATAAATGCTGTTAAAACTACTTCAGTGCAGTACGGTTAACTATTGCTCTCTGTTTGAGAATGCAGGTTCCTCGGGCATCAGCTAGTGCAGTAGCATTTGGTTTGGGTCTACTTTCTGGGAAAGGGAAGCTTGGACCTGTGAAAAACCGTGCCTTTTCTGTTCTGAGTGAGAGTCGTGCAAGTGATATTTGTCTGCGATTCTTTGATAGCTGTGAAACATACAAGGTACTATTGATGAACTATGGTAACAATGAGATAAAATAATAAACATATTTGGAGAAGAATAATGTGATCTTGTATCTCGACATATTTGTTCCCTTCTCTTTGGATGCAGACATTTTATATTTATAAGACATGCAAATGTTGGATGGATATCTTAATTACCAATTTTGAACAGATTTGTTCAGCTAATCAAACATACTGCTACATGCACTTGTGTGATCACTCTGTACTCTATACTCTGTACTCTGTACTCTGTACATGCATTTGACGGGTTTTTCATGTACTGTTTTATGCATGGTGCATTCATACTTCTGCTTATGTCTGTTGGCTATTCTCTCTGGACTTCTTGTTTTGCCATGTGATTATCAATCTCTATTCAGTCAGTGATAGTAAAATGTTCTTTTTAGTTCGATATGCTGTATAAGATAACTTTCCTCTGTTCATACAACTGCTATTGAATTGTTACTTTGACAAAGGATTGTAACTACAATACTATTTTCAGGACTACAGGAAAAGAAAGGAGCCTGATGTTGAAAAGCAAAAGGAACCAATTTTAGAACACGTCACATCGGCATTAGTTAACCGTTATCATCTCAATTTTACACCAAAAGATGTTTCTTCCCTCTGGTTCCTTTGCAAGCAGGTAACAACTTGCCTGAGGACACTAGTGTTCGATTCAGTAATACCTATGGATATTCAATAAGTTGAATTAATGGTTCATTTTGCAGGAAGCATCTTTAATGAATATAACCAATCAAGCTTGTCAACTTTTTAATGAAGCTGAGGTAGGTTGCTTTTGGATTTCAGTTTTTCTCAATTATACCACTATTGATGACTATACTTAACTAGCTTGTGTCCAGTAATATGAAAATGTTATGAGCCTGACATGCTATGCCTCCTTAGCAGTTATCAGTTCAGTGATAAGATTACTCAGACAGACCTATTTCTCAACTGCACTATGTACTTTCTGTTATCTGGTTGTTGTAGAACAGTAGTATTTACACTGGATAACATCTGGAAACTATATACACTGCACATGAATGCTTCTAGAGCATTAATCATCATAATACTTTTTAGCTCGTAGGTAGCTCGTAGGTTCTTTTTGGATAATTGTGTGCAAGTTACCAAAACATTAGTGTGCCTCGACTGATTTTGATTAATGACTAACACATTTGTTTGGTCAGGTTTATTTTCTAGAGTGGACAGATGATCTGGAGGGCTTTGTGCTAAAAGGTTATGGTGAGTCAATAAACTATCGGATGGGACTGCCATTGCTCAAGGACGTTGTCCAGTCAATGGAAGAAGCAATCGTTGCTAAAGAAGGTAGTGGTTCCTCCCAAGTTTAAGTTTATCAAATAAGTTCGTTGATACTACCGCCTCTGCCTTCCTACATTCTATGCCTTTGTCTTCAACTGATATTGAAATTCTTGTCGTATCAGATGATTATTTGCATGACGGTTTCCTTAGCGTGTGCTAAATGTTTAGTTAGAGCTTGCAAATTTGCAATGCCAAATTGTAAACAGTACTTGAGATATACAGCCTTATTACAGGTAACATTGAGGTGTAAAATCTAAAATCGACATTTTCAATTCTTGAAATTGTAGAAAACCACCCTGATGGTACATATGAGAAGGCAAGGCTCCGATTTGCACATGCTGAAACTGTTGTCCCTTTCTCATGTCTTCTTGGTCTTTTTCTTGAAGGATCAGGTATCTTTCGTTATTGAGAAAATTCCATTCACACATAATCATTCTCCATGAATAATGTAGCATGTAACTAATTGCCCATTTCCTTGTCTTTCATATGTAGATTTTGCGAAGATACAACGGGAGGAATCATTGGACATACCTCCTGTGCCACCACAGGGAAGAAATTGGAAGGGCAGTGTTGTTGCACCTTTTGCTGGTAACAATATGTTGGCTTTGTACCAGTGCCCAGGAAAAACTGATGGTGGTAAGATTTCTCGGGATCAGAAGAGCTCATACTTCGTGCAGGTTATACACAATGAAGCTCCAGTTTCAATGCCGGTAAGATTATAGCTTCTAATTTGTGGTTTATTTTTATGTGTTCTTCCCAATTTCTGGGGACTGGTCACTTGGACAACATCCTGCATTATTACACCCCTTTTATGCCCAAAATCGTTGGATTTGTTTGATGATATAAGATTACAAGTTCTGTAGTTCATGTTATGCCCAAAATGCTCTTGTGAGCCCTTTGCTTGAGCTTGAACCCTCATAATTTTGGGCTTTGATACTTTCTTAGTTCATGCCGTGGTAACAGAATAAATGGCTCAAGGAGAATTCACGTCTAATATCTTTTGGCATCGGACAGGCTTTATTAACTTTAAGGACTTAATCCAACAATTGTTCCTTTCCATTTTTTAATGTAGTAATTTATATAACAACAAAAACAAACTGACATTATCGCATAGTAAGTGCCATTAACAAACACTTTCAAAAAGTTGTGTATAGGTTTTACATATAACTTGTTTTTGCCTGGCCGGCCAAAGAGTAGGTCGGCCAAATTTCATTAAGAAAGAGTATTTATAAGCATGCCGGCATAGTCATCTGAGTTTTTTTGTAAGCTAATTTATGAAGAACCTCCTAATCAGGCTTTTTTTTTTCCTCCAGGGATGCGGGAACAAAGATTTCTGCCCATTTGAAGAGTTCAAGGTAAATAAAATTGCCTGGTGCTAATGTTCAGGCATCGTATTCAAGAAACAAACATGAATCCCCTTAGCAGTTACCTGCTGAGCATCTCTCGTTAATGCCAGTCTACATTTACAGGAGAAGATAGTTGAACCCCACCTGAAGCATGACTACGACGCCCTATGCAAGATAAGGCCGGTGGCAAGAGAGGAGCCTTCCTCCTTCAGTTCCAGGATGTCCAATTTCTTCCTAGGTTTGTTCTCGCAGAAAGGATACCGTGTTAGTGCTCAGGATGTGAAGTCGGAGCTGTAGGTTTATACTAGGCAGATGGTGCATCTTCTACCTTTCGCACTAAGCTGCTACTATCCATCTACCATGGATAACCAAGGGACTGACTCGTGGACTAAACTACGGTGTTTCTGTACTTGCAACCCTCAGTTTGATGAGCGAGTCCAATGTGTAACAACACGCTATCACTGGTGCCCCTCTTCTTTCAGATAGAAGACGTTTGTTGATCAATGTAATCTTTGTTTTAATCTGGACTTTCTCTAGTGCTCAACTGCTGACTCTGTTGAGATCAAACTGAAAGTACTAGCACACGGTTGTGATTGTGGCCCTTGTGGTAGGTTGAGATCATGTACTACTACTTGGACAATCCGTTTCAAGCTTTCAGCTCAATCAATCCAGATTTGGGAGATCCCCAATTCGAGATGAATCATGACAAATCATCCGTGTGACTGTCACTTGTGAGGCTGTGAAAGATCCAAAAAGTTGGCTGCTTCTGCATCTGCTTCTGCTTCTGTCAGTCAAGCTTTGTACTGTACTGTGCTACAGTGCTACTAGTAGGTACCAGCCACATCGACAATAAAAGCTCCAGGCTCACAAGCCACAGCTCTCTCACACGAGAGCTCGAGTCTCTCTCGTCGGCGACAATGGCGAGCGGCGGCGGCGGAGGAGGGGAGGGGGAGACGGTGCTGGTCACCGGCGCGAGCGGCTTCATCGGCTCGTGTCTCGTTCGCCGCCTCCTCGCCCGCGGCTACTCCGTCCACGCCGCCGTCCTCAACCCCGGTCAGTGCGAAACCGCCATTACTGCTGCTTGTTTGCTTGCAAGGCGGAGGAGGTGATGAAGACAATGGTGTTGTGCTGTGCAGATGACAAGGCCGAGACGGACCACCTCCACGCGCTCGCCGCCGCCGGCGGCGGCGAGGGCCGCCGCCTCCGCGTGTTCCCGGGCGACCTCCTCGACGGCGCCGCCCTCCTCGCCGCCGCGCGGGGCTGCTCCGGCGTCTTCCACCTCGCCTCCCCCTGCATCGTGGACCGCGTCCTCGACCCCCAGGTACACCGGCCGGCGACTCTTCTCCTCTCGACGTCCGTACCGGCCTCGTCGGCGTCGGCGTCGGCGGGCTCCAGGCTCACCGCCTCCGGCCGTGTTCCCGTTGTTTGCAGGCGCAGCTGATGGTGCCGGCGGTGGAGGGGACGCTGAACGTGCTGCGCGCGGCCAAGGACGCCGGCGGAGTGCGGCGGGTGGTGGTGACCTCGTCCATCTCCGCCATCGTGCCCAGCCCCGGCTGGCCGGCCGGCGAGGTGCGCGACGAGCGCTGCTGGACTGACCTTGACTACTGCGAGAAGAACGGGGTGAGCAGTCTTGTGTCTTGGCATCTCCATTTTTCTTCCATTCTCATTGGAATTATTTGACAGTGTGCGAAGTGCAAATTGATGATGATATTATAACGAGTAAATTTCACAAAACTGCAACTGTTTGGTTAAAACTATCATTTTGCTGGGACTTTAGCAACGTGTTTCACAAAACTGCAATAATAGCAAACATTTTTAGCATAATGCTACAACTTTATCCCCTCGTGTGTGTATGGCATGCGGGTCTAAAATTGTCGAGCAAATAAAGTTATAGTTCTATGATAAAATCGGACACTATTGTTGCAGTTCTCTGAAATGCTTAGCTAAAATTAAAATTGTAGCAAATTGATACTTTTGACAAAATAGTTGTAGTTTTCTGAAATTTACTCTATTATTATTATCAGTTTAGAGGGGGGAAATAAGTTTCTAGCAAGACAAGAAAAGGCTGCACTCTCCATGCATGCCAGTGCTGTTTGGTGAGATGAAAATGATATCAATAATTTCTTTTACATGTTGCTTTCTGCATTTGATTCTCCTAGACCCAATGGGAACAAAATTCAGTCAATGATAACATGGAAAAGGACTGCAGAATTTACATCATGCAGCCCACACATCGCTGCAATTATATGAACCTTTTCGCTGGTATCTGAGGCACGCTTTGGTTGGTTGTGCATAGGTTTGGTACCCTGCTTCAAAAACATTGGCAGAGAAGGCAGCATGGAAGTTTGCAGAGGAGAATGGATTGGATGTGGTTGTGGTTAACCCAGGAACTGTCATGGGCCTGGTAATCCCACCGACGATCAATGCTAGCATGGCCATGCTTGTTCGCCTACTCGAAGGTATGCATTTTGGATCAATCATGTAGCTGATCTTAACCATAGTTAAGTCTGAATAGTACTATTCTAGGACAAGTGATATTGTTTCCAATCAATGTGATTAATGTGTGGAAGAGGGAAACTGATTCATGTGCTTGCACAAACTAGGAACTTATAACCCTCAGAAAGTATCAAGTATGTTAAGATTGATTGCTCTAGGTAAATTACCACAAATACTTGTTCCAAAAAAAAAATTACCACAAATACTGAGAATACTAGGAAGCTGATAGTGCTGCACTGAATATGTCACAGTGATTAGTATCACCAGAGAGTGAAACCGCATGTTTTGCTATCCCTCAACACTTGATGTAATGACATGAAAAATAGGCTTCTTCAGTTCAGTTGGCATAAAAGAGAACCGTTGATTCCTAAATGACCATGCATGTGCTACTCAAAAACTTCTCTTGTTTGATTCAGTGTGAGGGATAGAATGGCAATTTTGTGTGCCTAGAAATTCTTGATTGAATGGTTGCCTCTTCCAGCTGTGATTGCTACTGCAAGGAAACACCTAAACATGCTCACCATTGTGACAATGCAGGTTGCACAGAGGAGTATGCGGATTTTTACATGGGGCCAGTCCATGTGGAAGACGTTGCTCTTGCCCATATTCTGCTGTACGAGAACCCATCTGCATCCGGGAGGCACCTCTGCGTGCAGTCCATTGCTCACTGGAGCGATTTCGCTTCCAAAGTCGCCGAGCTCTACCCCGAGTACAAAGTGCCAAAGTGAGTTTAGTGGACTGTAGGGCCTGTTTGGTTCGCAGCCAAAGGTTGCCACGCCAAACCTTAGACGTACCTTCTTAATACATTCGGATGGCCTCCTTCGGCCTTCCCGGCAAAAACCTTAGACGTACCACATAAATCTCCAAATGCTTCCATGACTATATCAAACTGTGAATGATGCAGCTGCAATTGCAAATATCACTAACTGATAAATTATTTTTGGTTTTTGTGTGGCAGATTACCCAAGGAAACGCAGCCTGGGCTGGTGAGAGCAGAGGCTGCGTCGAAGAAGCTGATCGCGCTGGGTTTGCAGTTCAGTCCCATGGAGAAGATCATCAGGGATTCAGTGGAAAGCCTCAAGAGCAGAGGCTTCATCTCTTGATCCTTCTATGCATTAATCCTTCTGCCTGAGTAGATTACTCGTGTGTTAATGTGTTATTATGCCATTTTCAGCAAGCACTCTGTGTTTATGAATAATGGAAATGTGCAGAGACGCTATGATTGGGAATGCTCCAGTTGTTGAGCACTTGACAAATATATCATGCAATGCATGCAGCTACAATTCAACAACGATACCCATGCTCTGAAGTCTGAAAAAACCCAAAGCACATCGGTGACAATGAAGAAAACATTTATAAAACAAAGCTAAAGATCGAATACGTTTTTCCCGTCTTTTCAGTTCACTCTTTTTTGCCTCATCTACCACACAGCACAATGTCTAGATGACTTCACATCTAGCTAAGCTACGACATTGGACCGAAGAACAGCTTCACCATCTTTTTTTTCCTAGTGGCAGGACAGATTGTCGTTTGATCAGATTGGTCAGAGGAGATTGCACACACCACAATTTAACCTATAGCCTGGTTTTCTTGGAGGAGCTGCTGCTGCAGTCAGGGCACTTGTAGTGCTTGATGTGCTCCGCCTTAGCCGGGGTTATCCTGACGCATTTGCCGTGGAACCACCGCTCACAGATGTCGCACCCGATCCAGAACTCGTTCGCGTTGTAGAGGCCACCGCAAGTTCCGCAGAATGTCTCGTTGTGTTCTTCGTCGTCGTCCTCGTACTCCTCTGCGACAACCCTGGAGCGCTTTACCTGCCCTTCGCCTGTTCTCTGTGTATTGTAGCTTAGGTTACAAAATCTGAAGTAACTGCATTTGAAGTTTCTGAATTTTGGGGGAGGGAAATACTAACCTTTGTTGAATGTTTGGATTTTCCGCTGCTATCGACACCAGACCTATCCCTGACGTGCTTCCTGTCAACCAATGCTTCATATACAGTAGGTAGATCATTGATCATGTTGAAGAGCCGCTTCCTGAGAAACAAAAGGAGCAATATTGTAACTCCCTCCAAGCGCATGGTCTCCAAAAAGTAACTTTAGCAACTATTTTCTATTATAATATATATAGAAATATCAACAAATATATAATTTTATTGAAGTATTTTTTAAGACTAATCTACACATATGTTTCCATATTTTTAAGATAAATATTTTAGATAGTCAAAGATTTTAAAGTTTGACTTTACCCTTGTTCAAAATGACTAATATTATTAGCCCGGGAGAGTATTCAGTAACAGCCTAAAGTCAACATACAGTCAGCAGCAAAGAAACTACTCGTAAGCATTGCGGAACTTTTTTTTTTTTGGCAAACATTGAATTTTAAGGTGATGGGGCAGATACATGTACATGAGAATAGTAACACACCATCATGGATAGCATGCCAAAGACGAGACTAAGTGACTAACATGTAGTATAATAGAGTAGCTCAGTAGCATAAACAGAAATACTATACATCATTTCTTCAGTTAAAATACACATCTAATCCTGAAAAATAAGAAGAAAAAAATGAATAACATAAAACTAAACTAGTACAGAGAAATACATTGATGTGGAAAACACGAGATTCTGGATTACGACCCTAATAGCATACCAGGACATAGCATACGCAGACTTCTTAAACTAAGAAGAAACAAGTTATCGCTTTTATCAACAGAACACCTCTGCCACAAACTATATGCGCAGAGTTGAACAATAAGTAAAGCCTAAATATGTTGCCTAATCCCTTTGATTGCATTGTCGACATACCAGCAGTAGACTATATTGGAATAAAAGTGGTAGGATTATGTCTAGCAGAAAATGTCATTATGTGCTCCTAAGTTCTAGATATAACATCCCATACCCGCAATTAGCTACAACTGTCTCTAGACAAATGAACAACGATGGGATGAACAAGAAAGCTGAAATAAGGGGCATTTTGATGCTTAACATCGATGCGAGCATCAAGTACTCCTTTTGTCATGACCTCATTGATTTATTCACCTTAGTAAAGAAAATTTAACTTCAGCACAGATACATCATGAAGTACATAAGTAGATGGAAAGCATATTTTTCTGGCATGCATTGTGTGCTAAACTCCACTACTAATCTAAAATTTCTGGTAACAAATGCTACGAAAATCTTAGAATAATTTGGTCATATATGATATATCATGCCAGCTAAAATGCCAAAAGCTCTAAAAGGAGAATAATAGAGACCTACTTGCATAGCACTTGACCAAGGAATCAAGTAATGGCTTGCTACCTCTGTCCCAAAATAAGTGTCTAGATTTATGTATAAAAGTGAACTTATTTTAAGACGGGAATAGTACTATGTAGGCATATACACGTATTGTCATATTTGCTCCGTATACACATTACTCCTATATCAACTAGTACTAGTAAATGTACACCTTCTCCAACCACAATGAAATGGAGTAAGTTGTGGCGCAGTTGACATGCCAGAAAAATGCAGAAATGAATGGCCCTTCATTTAATATAAGAGTCTTGTAGGTGCTACTTCAATCTTTAAAGCCTGCATTTGCTAGACTCTGCGACTCATTAAATCAAGTTCTGGAAAAGTTTTTCAATTCAAAAACTAAAATGGGATAGGATAGGCACTAAATTCTTACGAGCAGCTACCATGAATCAATATGAACCCTAGAGTATGAATTGATAATTCTATCATGAAAGAAGGGTAAGGATGTAAAACTCACATAGAACGGCCAGTACACTACAGCCAGCACATCCAGAACGCATGACTCCAATTCACTCAAAGCAAAGAAAGGAAACAAAAAGAAGAGCACGGGATACATGTGCACATGCAGACACATGCGCCAACTGAAACAAAAATTAGACCATGAAATCGATCACGCGAATCCTCCTTCACCTAACAATCAAGCAAACTACTGTACCGAAAGGCAGCTTTGAACTGCACAAATCTTTCTGTCAGGAAAGAGACACTGAAAATTTTACTGACTTTCTTTTTTTTCCAGCCAAGAAATTGAATTCGGGGAAGGTATGCGGAATTGCGGATGCGAGCGAGTAGTACCGTTCGTTTCCGTTGAGCCGCGCGGCGAAGAAGAAGGCGACGGAGACGAGCCACGAGTCGGAGTGGACGGCGACGAGGGAGAGCCAGTCCCGGCGGTTCATCCCGTCGCGGGCGAAGTTGATGCCGAGCGCCGGCTCGGGCAGCTCCGGCGGCACCTCCTCCGCCGGCAGCGCCACCTCCCAGCTCCCGTTGGCGAGGCCGTACAGGCACAAATTCTCCTTATCTACAAAAGGCAAATCCGATCCGCTCAGTCCCCCCACCACCACCACCACCCGGATCCACCGCCGCCCACACGCACCCGGACGAACACCTCGCCGCGAGCGGAAATCGAATCCACCCCCTCACTCAACTCACCTGGGTCGCAGAGCCCGAAGAACTCGTCCACATCTGCACGGCAGCACACGAGAGACAGACAGACGCGAAGCCTAGCGTTAGATCTGCGCAGGGAGTCAGTGCCGCACGAACTGGAGGAGGCGGAGGCGGACGCGGACGCGGACGCGGGGAGACCTTACCTGAGGTGAGCGCGCGGACGAGCGCGCCGCGCCGCGCCGAGTAATCCTTGAAGATGTCCTCCACCGTCCGCGGGTTCGACGCCACCTGCGCCGCGGGGGCCATTTCCATCAAACCGCACCGACGAGCACTCTATCCCTCCTCCGGCGGCGAGCGGCGGCGGAGGAGCGCCGGTGAGCGGCGACGGTGCGAGGCGTCGCCGACGAGCCGAGCCGGACACAGAAAACTGGATTCCGGCTGCTTCCTTCGCTTCTTTATTACACCGGGCCGATGTAAAAGGGGCCCGGTTTTGTTTGGTCCCGACTCGCGGCTCTACCCGGCAGGTGAAATGAGGCTGACATGGTGGGCCCACAACCTGAGGCGAGTCATGGGACCCACGTGGAAGTGGGTGGGGTTGGGTAAAAGTATTGGTGTGAGTTGATGGGTAGGGGGAGCTATGTCCTATGCGTGTGGGCCCGGATAGGCTGCTGACCTGGCACAGATCGGGATGGCCCGTGGGGTTTTCAACCGGGTCCAATGGGGACGGAGGCCCGGGTTTATCCGGTTCGTTGCGGCCGCGAGGCCTTTCTTGGGCCGTCCGATCTCGCCGCCAACGGCTCAGATGAACCCGCACGTGGATCAGATCAGATCCGTTCCGTTTCAGCATAGAGGGAGAGATTTCAAAATGATGACTTCATTCAAGATTCAAACCGCGCCACAAGAAAACAACAAAATAGGCTGCTTGCAACTTGCAGAGATTCACAAGCATATGATGACACTACTTCACTCCACGACATTCCAGGTTTGAATTTTAAAATCGCGCTGAAGGAAACCAAATCCGCTGCTACTTCTATATGGAATTTGAATTCAGGTGATTAGGGGGGGTAAAAATACGATTGACATGTTCACCACAACATCGAGTCTGAATTTCAGAGAGAGATTAGCTGCCAGAAGCAGAAAAGGAAGGCCCCAGAATTCATTAGCTGAATGTAGCTAATTGTACTTCTTATAGCCGCCATGCCGCTCCAGCTGCTTGCAATGGAGGGGAATAGGATTTAAGATCTTGGCTTCTCCTTCTTCTCCTTGAAGAGGGCGAGGAGAGAGACGCCGGAGACCTTCACCACCTTGAAACGGACACCGGGAATGTCTCCCACAGCATGTCCCTTACGACCAAACCCAGCGATGAGCACCTCGTCCTGCATATCCCGAACGGAAAATGGTAAGAACATGATAAGCAACAAGAAAGCTCTGTATGGCAGCAGTTGAACATACATTTTCCTCGATGAAGTTCAAGCAACCATCGTTCGGCACAAAGGCAGCTATCTTCTTCCCATTCTTCACCAACTGAACACGAGCACACTTACGGATAGCAGAGTTTGGCTGCTTAGCTTCAATGCCACTGCAGATAAAGTAATGCATGTTGGTTATTGAATGTTCTTCAGAGCAAATAATTGCTCTACGTTTATTGCACTTACATCTTTTCAAGGACAATGCCCTTTGCATGAGATGAACCAGCAAAGGGTTTCTTCCATTCATTGCCAAGATGGCTCTTCTTGTATGCTTTGTCGGCCCACCTCTGGTTTCTCCTGTGGGTCTTGAGCTTGCGCCCAGCTCCCATACCACGTGTCTTACTGCAATTGCATCCAAGAAATATATGTAAACACCAAGTGCATCAATAAAGTTCTAAAGCTATACGTCAAACAGTTTCAACATGAGCATCAAAGGAACTAGAAATATTAGCACAGTGGTATATTAAGATGAGTGTAATTGCTTTTGTTCTAAAAGTACATAGGTACAACTCTGTCTGACAGATCACTCCATTGAAGAAGATTCAACTACCCAAAAGTATGAGACGAATTTTGAGGACTCAACAACCAGTTTACTGCAAGCATCACTCATGAACAACCAATTTGCTAAAGGGAAAGCAGCAAAAGAGATTCGACAGTGCAATTTAAGTTCGATCAGGCTAAGGGCAAACGCAAATGTCCCACCACCTCTTATAGTCGCCTCCAATTGGAAAACATTTCCCAAGGGAAACACTATGCGTCTAATATGCATCCACTATGCAATACTCCTACAAGGCAATAGCATAGCAAACAGATGTATGCAACTAGATATGGTTGTGGTGACTACTACTTAAATCAGTAGAGCACAATCCAGCAGACAGAAAATGTTAACAAGCCTGCTATATTTACACTCCAGTGGAGTCTAGCCATGGAAATATTGAATTAGGGGTGAATGCTATGCTGATTGCTTAAGCCAGTGAATTGAGAGCATTTCATCAGAAAGAGTTACTACACCCATGAGATTATGATCCATATTTCAGCATATAGTGTACACTGCCGTAGCAAAACGTAAAAATGTATAGATTGCTAATGACTAGGGAGACCTGGAGGGTAATTCATAATTTCGAACAGCAACTAAATCAGCTCCAGCCACAAGAGGCATCTTATAGCTCATGGACACTATATCTCTCAATATGCCACTAAATTATTTGAAACTACATCAAACAAAGTCTCTGGAATGGAATCAGACAAGTAAAATCACAACAGCACATCGTTAGATGAACGAAATAGAATAAAACAGAAGGAAAAATCCGTTCTGGTTGGACAAATTGGATGGGACTCCTAACTTCGCGCTTGTAGACCTGAATACCCCAAAACACTATTCCTACAGATCTGACGAACGCTAGAAATCGCAAGGGATAGAGCGACGGCGATTAGATGCAGAGTATAGAGGATCCATTACCCCATGTTGGATCGGCGACGGCGGTGACGGGCCTGGAGCGGGAGTAGGGCGGCCGGCGGCGAGCGCGCTGGAGCAGGCGACGGCGACGGCGGCGGCGGAAGGGTTTGGGGGAGGAGGGGGCGGAGGGTTTTATATCCCTCCTGCTCGTTGATGCGGGCTTGCGACGACCGGTGGATTTTCCTTACGATACGTGCTCAAGTATAAGTGGCTTAGCTTAGGAGAGAATCTTATGGACCTGTTTTTTATGGGCTAAATGACCAGATATTTTCGGAATAAGTCCACTTGGACTCCCTTAAAAGTGACCCGAATCTAATCCATGACCCTAAACCGCAAAACCAGATATTTCGACGCCGAACTATTGAAACCGGTGCAGTTTGACTCCCTTCGTGGTTTTGGAGGGCGGTTTCGCTGACGTGGCGCTGACATGGCGGTGTTGACCTAGTATGTTTAGTTAACGTGGCGCTTAGGTGGTATTTGAATTAAAAACATATACGTGGGATCCGTGTCATTCACACACATTAAAAAATTGTGGGACACACTGACATGTGGCCCCACATGTCATCATCTCTTTCTTCTTCCCCAACATGATCTCGTAGTTCTTGGTCTGTGAAGATGCGTTGTTGGGTGCTCTATTTTCCCATCGAGGACGAACCTCAATCTGTGCTCGAGAGATAGCTCTCCATACACTGATAAGGGATGTATGGATTCTTGAGAAGAGAGGAGCCGTAGTGCCCCCGGACCGCCCGGAACCCACGAGTGAATAGAAAGTTAGATCTACATGGGATCTCACCTGAATTGCCCCATCTATCCTCCTGAGGAGAAGTTTGTTTGGTTTCAAACTCCGATTCAAACAGGAGGAGTACGCCATGCTAATGTGCCTTGGATGATCCACATCTTCGTGTCAGGCGCTGATGAGCACATTGAACTATCCATGTGGCTGAGAGCCCTCACAGCCATGGTACAACGACGCAATTATCAGGGGCACGCTCTACCACTGAGCTAATAGCTCGTCGCGCGGGCCTTCCATCCCCTCTTCCTCCCTTCTCTCTTTCTTTCTCTTTCTCAGTCCTTCGGCCGGCTGCGGGGAGCCAGGGAGCACGGGCAGGAGTTGAAGCGGCAGCGGCGGCGGGAGCTAAAGTGGTGATGGCGAGTATGAGACATCCACATCGCTAATCACCCACGCCGCCATTAGAGCAGCTCGAGGAAGGAGGAGGAGGAAATCATTTGGATATGGGGGTGGAAGGAGAGTGTGATAGGATAAAGGGGCCATGAAGTCCCGAGGAGGATGAGGCGCTGTGGCGGCTAGTGGAGTGGCATGGGGCGAGGGATTGGACGACGAGGAATTGGACGGTGACCGCCTCGGCAACTGGTGGGCCACCATCACGTGGCTCCTCCCCGGCCGCACCAACAACACCGTCAAGAATCACTAGAACTCCTCCCTCAAGCGGAAGCTCGCCACCGCCACCACCATGGAGGTCGGCGCCGGCGTCGACGGCGGCGAGATCAACCAACCGTGCAAGTACGTGAGCCCCCGGCCCGAGAGCCCAACGGGATTGAACCGTAGCGAGCTCAGCCATGGCAGCTGCGGAAGCGGCGGGCAGGTGTTCCGTCCCGTGCCACGCCCCGGTGGTTTCAATGCCATCAGCGCCGCATGTCAGTGGCAGGGAGAAGAAGTATGACATGTGGGGCCCACATGTCTGTGGGCCCCACAATTTTTTATGTGTGTGAATGACAAACGGGTCCCACGTATACGTTTTTAACTCAAATGCCACCTAAGCGCCACGTCAACCCCGAAGACTAGATCAACACCACCACATAAGCGTCACGTCAGCTAAACCGCCCTCCAAAACCACCAAAGGAGTCAAATTGCACCGGTTTCAACAGTTTGGGTGGTCAAGACATCCGGTTTTACAGTTTAGGGTTATGAATTAGATTTTGCAGTTTAGGGTTATGAATTAGATTCGGGTCACTTTTAAAGGTGGACTTATTCTGATATTTTCTTATGTTTTGAGGCCATAAGCATTAGGCCCAGTAAGACACTTCGATTGTGTGGACTGGCAGCCCATATACATGCGCCTTTTGCTGCCCAAAAAAGGCCCATAAACCATCCCTTCCGTTGCTTTCCAATCGGATTATGTAGGCATGACCGATTTTAAAAAGGAAAAAGTACAACCAAGGTCCCTCAACTTGTCATCGAGATACAAAATCGTCCCCCAATCGCAAAACCAGATAACTGGCCTCCCTCAACTAACAAAACCGTTCGCATTAGGTCCCTCGGTGGTTTTGTCCGACGTGGCGGCTGAGTCAGCGTGGGACCCACGTGGGCCCCACATTTCAAACAATCCACATCAGCCTCCTCTCTCTTCCCCCTTCTCTCTCTCTCTCCCCTCCTCTTTCTCACGCTTCTCTGCCTCTGACTAGGCCGGCCGTTGGGCGCGAGGCGAGAGAGGAGGGCGGCGCCGTGGCGGCGGCAGCGACGGGGGCGGTGACGGGGTAGAAGGGAGGGCGTCGGCATCGGCGGCGGCGGCGACGTGGGAGAAGGAGAGGGCGACGTCGTGCGGGCGAGGTCGAGGACGGAGACACCGGCAGCGGCCCGGCGGAGCGTCGGCGGTGGCGAAGATGGGCCCGGGGAGGCGTAGCGAGGCGGGAACGACGTGGGCGTGCAGCGGCCGTGCGCGTGCGTCGTGGGCGAGCGCTGGGTGCCGGAGCTTGAGGAAGGCGAGGGCGCACCCGCCACCGCCTCGTCGCCCGGCGCCGCGTCGCCGGGCGCCGGATCTCCTCTCCCGCCTCGCAGCCACCGCCGCCGCCCGCCGCCGCCTTTGCCTCCTCTCCCGCCTCGTCGCTTCCACATCGTCGACCTCCTCCGCTGGAACCTCGGCCTGTATGATTGTGTACTTGGATGCATCCAAGAATCCATGATTGGCAGACTGCGCACCTGATGGATAAACAAATTGAGTAAATGTCAATGGCGAACTTCAGACTAAGATAGCATAGCAAGTACCAAACGTCCATGTACCCAGTCGCCCTCATCTGCTCCCGCCGCTCCTATGATGGTGCCCGCGATGACGGTACCAATTCCAGAAGGTTATCGCCGGCGGCGGCGACGACGGAGACGCACCGACGCGCTACAGCCGCCGCCGCCGACGGAGCCGCTCCAGGGTAGGACGCGCTACAGTTGTCGCTGCCGACGGAGCCGCTCCTAGTCAGACGCGCTACCCCCGCCGCCACCGACGCGCGGACGCGCTACAGTCGTCGCCGCCGACGGAGCTCTCCTAGTCAGACGCGCTACCCCCGCCGCCACCGACGCGCGGACGCGCTACAGTCGTCGCCGCCGACGGAGCTCTCCTAGTCAGACGCGCTACCGCCACCGCCGCCGCCGCCGATGCTCCGCCGGGCCGCCGCCGGGGTCTCCGTCCTCGACCTCGCCCGCACGGCAACGCCCTCTCCTTCTCCCACGTCGCCGTCGTCACCGCCGCCGATGCCGACGCCCTCCCTTCTCTCCTGTCACCGCCCCCGCCGCTGCCGCCGCCGCCAACCGTCGCCGCTGCGCCGCCTTCCTCCTCTCTCGCCTCGCGCCCACTGACCAGCCTAGTCAGAGGCAGAGAAGGGTGAGAAAGAGGAGGAACCGAGGAGGGGAGAGAGAGAGAGGAGGGGAAGAGAGAGGAGGCTGACGTGGATTGTCTGATATGTGGGGTCCACGTGGGGCCCACGCTGACTCAGCCACCACGTCGGACAAAACCAGGATCAAAACCACCGAGGGACCTAAAACGAATGGTTTTGTTAGTTAGGGAACGCCCAGTATCTGGTTTTGTGATTGAGGGACGATTTTGTATCTCGATAACAAGTTGAGGGACCTTGGGTGTACTTTTTCCTTTTAAAAAACACTCGTCTCCGTCGATAAAAAAAGAGAGCAAATTTTCTATATTATAAAGAGAGTCAGAGGGCAACTCAATGATAACACTAAGGGCCTGTTTGGCACAGCTCTAGCTCCAGCTCCATCCCTCGCTCAGCCAAACAGTTTTAGCTCCACTAAAATTAGGAATGGAGCTGGGTGGAGCTCTCTCACAAAATAAACTAGAGTTGTGGAGCTGGGTTTAGACAGCTCCACAACTCCACTCCAGACCCAACTCCTGGAGCTAAATTTAGGAGCTAGAGCTCTACCAAACAGGCCGTAAGCTAATGATAAATTTGGTATTAAACACAAACTTGAAAATTCACTATTTTATATAATCAGCGTGCAACTGGTAATAATACCGAGCTAATTACAAATTTGGTAGCAAACACAACGTTGCAAATTTAAAACAAGATTTGGAGGGAGACACATCCCTCCAAACTTTTCTAAAAAGAAATTGTGAGCGCTCCAAACTTTTTTAAAAAGAAATTGTAAGCGTGTTAGGGATTGAACATAAATCTCAGGATTAAAACCACTCACCGTTTGCTATTGCACTCTGAAGTTTATCTCCGACCTTGCAAATTAACTATTATTTTATTGAGTGATAGTCATAGTGCAGTTGAATGGATAATACTAAGGTAATGACACATTTGGCTGCAAATCCTTCTTTCCATTGGTGCACGGCACCACAACTTCGACAGCAAAATTGACTTGAAAAACCGGGACTATTGGCACACATGGAGCACGCTAAAAATAGTATATGTGGTACGCTAACATGCTCTAACATGAGTAACAGAGAACCAAACACTTGTTTAAAAACAGTATTTCCTCATAATATAAGTCATTCTAGCATTGTCCATATACATACAGATATTAATAAATCGATATATATGTTTATATCTAGATTTATTAACATCTATATAAATATAAACAATGCTAGAATGACTTATATTATAAAATGGAGGGAGTAGAATATATATGGACGTGTGGCCACGAACCAAGTACTAGTGCTATTCATGAATGATAATGGTCATTAGCTAATCCCGAACAGTTGTCCATTCTTTTTCGAGGACCAGGATAAGGTGGTTGAATAGCAATCCCCACAGTGAACTAGACCACGACGTCGTAAGGACGATGGCGATGGCCACTGGTGGAGAAACCTTCTTTACTCCTGGTTGGTAACCCCTTTTAATCTCGGGTTTTCAACCGAGAGTAGCAATCCGGGACTAAAGATAGGTATCTTTAGTCCCGGTTAAAATAACCGGGACTAAAGATTGATCTTTAGTCCCGGTTGATAACAACAGCCGGAGTAAAAAAGAGGGATCTTTAGTCCCGGCTGTTCTTATCAACCGGGACTAAAGAGAGAGTAGCGGGTAGTCCAGATGGTTTTCTTTTCTTTTATTTTCTTTTTATTTTCTCCCGAATCGAGTGGCATGCACATCCCCAAATCCCCAAATCAAATAACATCTCAACTCCACATCACAAATCTTAAAGTTACTCATACACACAAATCAAATACATCCCAAATCCTAAACAATACAAAATACATCACAGATTATACATCTCAGATCTATACAAATGTCCAATGAATCACAAAATTATACATCTCAATAATCACAGATTATAAAAAAAAACGGCCGCTCGCTGCCGCCGGGCGTGGCCCAACCGGCCGTCGGCCGCCTGCCCGCCGCCGCGGGGCGCCGCCGCCGGGAGGCGTGGCCCCGCCGGCCGCCTGCCCGTCGCCGCGGGGCGCGGCCCCGCCGGCCGCCGCCGCCGCGCGCGGCCCCCCGCCCAAGAGGCTGCCCAGGCCGCTGTGCTGCCGCATCGCCTAGCGCCGCGCCGCCGCGCCGGCACGCCGCCGGCCACCAGGCCCTCCGCCCGTCGGCGCTCGTAGAGGAGAAAGAGGAAAAGGAGGAGAGAAGTTCAAAGGAGAGGAGGAGGAAGAGGAAGAGATATGGAGGAGGAAGAGATAAGGCCAGGGAGGAGATAGAATATATTAACTGCTCCTCCTCCTCTTCGATCTAGCCTCGTACTCTCCGGCGCCCATGTTGCGCATGCCGATCTTTTATTCCAGTTAGTGTTATCAACCGGGACTATAAATAGATCTTTAATCCCGGTTGGTTCCTGGGGAGGCCTGACAAGCCCTGATAACATTTGAACTAGGACTAAGGATCATCTTTAGTCCCGGTTGGTGTTACCAACGGGGACTAAAGATCAAATATGCCTGTTACCCTTTTTAACCGGTCTTTAGTCCCGGTTTTTATTGCAACCGGGACTATTGTGGAAATAGCCCGACCGACGAAAGATGGTTTCTCCACCAGTGGGCGATTTTAACCATGGGATCTTATTAAAATTTTCTGTCATATATTTATTAGAAGAGGGATATAATTTTGTATAGTTTATTTAAGCCCTCTTATTTATTAATTAATCCTTTCTAGATCCGTCCCTGTTTAAGTTTATATGTAATTATTAAGTTGACGTCGACTAAAGTGATTAAAAGAGTTTCACGCGCGAGTCGTTCGTGCGCACGGCACAAAACGCGGCTTATCCAGCTAGCGAGCTACGTATTCGCTCACTTCTCACGTCAAACCTGTACATACGCTATACGGGTCGCCCTACGCCAATAAAAGCTTTTTCTAGAAACGAATAACGTTTCCCCGCTTGGATCGATCGATCGATCGTGCACGTACGGCGGCCTCTGCACTGTCCAGGATCGGAGAGCCGGTACACCGTACGGCCATGGCACGCCATGGGCCGGCCGGGTACATAGCATAATTTTCGCCCATGTACACAGCTATACACGGGCCCAGTTATTAGACTATAGTAACAGTTGGCCTAACGTGTTGAGTTCATCAACGCGACGTAGACTTAGCCGATCGATCCATATCGTACACACATCCATCGATCTGTTACGAGTTACTACGAGTTATAATTTCGGCGCCGCAAAGCAGCATGCGCCGCGCGGCCGCGGTGAAACGAAGAAACGTGCGCCGTGCGCGCCGCGAGACCGCGCGCGGCGTAACCGAGGCCAGCGTACAGCCAGCCACGCGCCGCGCGCCGCGCGCGGCGACGGCACGAGCGGGCGGCTGCGCGGTGGCGCACGGGCGGTTTGACCTCCACGCTCGCGGCGCGGGCAGCGACTGCAACTGCACGGCCCGCCGCGGCTAAGTCCACTCACCGTGCCGTGCGTGATGGATGGATATACTCCACTTTGCCTGTACAAGTGCGGCTAAGGCCATTCTCAACCCATGACACTAGACATAGTTTCTGTAAGCTCCACATCATCAAGAAATTAGTACTAGACACTACTATTCCAATGTAAATATCACTAATCCATACTTCAATTAATGCCACTTATCTCACATGATGTCTTGAATGTTGTGTAGAAACCATGTCTCATGCAAGATATGTTTTCCTTCTCATTCCTCATTTATTCACTTGCTACATCATTTTTCATTTTAGGTGGCAGCTTATTTAATGCTATAGACACCATTCTAGTCATTGGGTTGAGAATGGCCTAAGGCCTTGTTTAGGGCCTGTTTAGTTTATGAAAAGAAAAATTTTGGATGCCACATCGGATGTCTGAAGGGTTTTTTCGGACACGAATGAAAAAAAATAATTTCATAACTTGCATGGAAACCGCGAGACGAATCTTTTGAGCCTAATTAATCCGTTATTAGCACATGTGGATTACTATAGCACTTATAGCTAATCATGGACTAATTAGGCTCAAAATATTCGTCTCACGATTTCCTCCCTAACTATGCAATTAATTTTTTCATTTATCTATATTTAATGCTTCATGCATGTGTTCAAAGATTCGATGTGATGTTTTTGGGAAAAAAATTTGGGAACTAAACAGGGCCTTAGTTCCAAACTTTTTCTTCAAACTTTCAACTTTTTCATCACATCAAAACTTTTCTACACACGTAAACTTCCAACTTTTCAATCACATCGTTTCAATTTTAACCAAACTTTTAATTTTTGCGTGAACTAAACACATCCTAAAACGGCTGCGCCCGAGGCTGTACGGCGTTCGGCGCTTTCAGCGTGTTGGATGCCACAGGAGTTTTGATGCTGCCTGCCATTATGGCTGTCGCGCGCGGTGCCGTGAAAAATGAAAAAAAGTTGAAGTGGAGGGCAATGGAATTGTCTGGTGCACGCCAGTGTGCATGCAATGCACATATGGTTCGTTGCTGATTGGCCACTGGTGTAACGTAGCCTAACTAATCTTACCCGGTGCACTTTTCCGCGTTGTTGTTGCTGTTGTTGATTCCTGATTGTGGCTGTCAAATCCAACGTGCACGGTCTGGACCGTGCTCCCTCTCCCGGCTGCGCGCTTGGCTGGTGGCCTCAAATGGCTAAACTATCCAACAAGAGGGTACGGTTGTTCCCTTTTTTACGATAAAGAAAACCTGTTCTGCGATGAAGATATTTATAAGTTTATTTGGTTTTAGCTACTAGTACAATAAGATATGAATGGCCATGTGTCCCATACACTATACACTGTCTGTTTTAGGAATACATCTTATAATACTTATTATACTAGTAAATTATATGGTGTTAAATATTGCTATGTATATTATAAAAAGGTTTCATTATTGTTCAATAGACTTATACTTTGACTTTTTTTATATGGTTCACTTTACTTTATCCTACCACCATGTAATAACATATCGGAAGCTCTAAAGAACGTTTAGAATATTCCACCTGTAGTCTTTGGTTTACATGATTTGTAAATCACATCACTCACTTATACTTTCATAGTACATTCACGAATAAAAGTAATATCGCACGAGTCATATAACCACCTTGACAACGTCCTTCATTTTATAATAACAATTCACCTGACACAACTAGTACACAACAAATCTAGCCTATGATTATATATAAAGTAACGTCTTAAAAAAAAACTCAACCCAAAGCCCAACTATCATCCGGATTATTAATATGCTATAATTAACGTCAGAATCTGCCGACTTTGAATAAACTAACACCCATGTGGTGTCCTATTTGTCGCATACAAAATCGCCCCAATTGGGTACAGTAGTTCTTTATCGAGTATAAGCGCCTAGAAAAACCCACGCAAATGCAAACCCGCTCATCATCGTCTCTCTCCCAAAGGACCAGAGGTTGGGGACTTGGGAGTGGAGACCGGCCATCTCCGGCGAGCCGATCGCCGTGCGACACGTTAGCCACCGCCGCCGTCCCTACCACCGGAGGCGTCCGCTGCGCGTGTGGCCGTAGCGAAATTCTAATCCCCTGTGCGATAGTTTCTCATCTCCTCCCTGAGATACCCTCCTCCGCCACTTCGACGTCCCATCCATCTCTCTCTATTTCCTTTTCTCCCGCTGCTCCCCACCTCTCTCTCTCCTCCTCCTCTTCTTCTTCATCCAACCCCCCATGGCGACCACCACCTGGTGCTGTGGTTGCTGCTGCTCCTGCCTCGCCACCGCTCGAAGCCGGTGAGTGAGTCGTCGTCAGTCGAGGCGCCAACGATCGAGCTGAGCTATAGCCAGGGTGAAGCAGAAGGCGAGGAGAGTTGGTGGTGAGTTGAACTCGATCGAAGTCGGAAGAGCGAGAGAGGGTGGAAGTGTTTGGTTGGGTTGCCGGTGTGGTGAGGATTGGAGATGTTGTTGGATCTCAATGTGGAGTCGCCGGAACGGTCCGGCACGTCGAGCTCCTCGGTGCTAAACTCCGGGGACGCCGGAGGCGGCGGTGGCGGTGGCGGTGGCGGAGGATTATTCCGGTTCGACCTCCTCGCGAGCAGCCCCGACGACGACGAGTGCTCCGGGGAGCAGCATCAGTTGCCGGCCGCCTCGGGGATCGTGACGCGTCAGCTCCTCCCGCCTCCGCCTCCCGCGGCGCCGTCGCCGGCGCCGGCGTGGCAGCCGCCGCGCCGCGCGGCGGAGGATGCCGCCCTCGCGCAGCGGCCGGTGGTCGCGAAGAAGACGCGGCGCGGGCCGAGGTCGCGGAGCTCGCAGTACAGGGGCGTCACCTTCTACAGGAGGACCGGCCGCTGGGAGTCGCACATATGGTAATTAATCAATCAACTAATCATCAACTGATTAATCCACATCCGTGTCTAGCTGATTACCGCCATTAATCCCTCGCTTTCTTCCTCCTAATCTCTGCAGGGATTGCGGGAAGCAAGTCTACCTAGGTGATGAGCAATTCAACTAATTATCAGTTTCATTAGTTGCTGTGAATTCGATTGCTGGCTATAGCTCTCTATCTTGTAGTATTGTGCTAACGCTGATGAAATTTATCATCAGGTGGTTTCGACACGGCGCACGCGGCAGCAAGGTGATGTATTAATTAAGCTCGATCGCGTGAATAGAATTAATTAACCTTGTTGGATTAACTGGTAATCATATTGATTCATCGAGGTTGATGTACTTGTTGCTAAATTTGCATCGATCGATCATGTTTACGCAGGGCTTACGATCGCGCTGCGATCAAGTTCCGGGGACTGGAGGCTGACATCAACTTCAACCTGAGCGACTACGAGGACGATCTGAAGCAGGTGATCTAGATATATGATTACATACTAATCGTAGTATGATACTCCATGCTAGCTAGCTAGCTCGTCTCGACCTTTCGATCTCATGTGAGTGAACTGAGCTGGGTTGCTGCAGATGAGGAACTGGACCAAGGAGGAGTTCGTGCACATACTCCGGCGACAGAGCACGGGATTCGCGAGGGGGAGCTCCAAGTTCCGCGGCGTCACGCTGCACAAGTGCGGCCGCTGGGAGGCACGCATGGGCCAACTTCTTGGCAAGAAGTAAGCTTAATTAGCTAGCTAGCTAGTGATCCCCCTTCATCAATACTTCAATTTCACAACCGTATAATTAGGAGTGACAAACGAAAGTACAGATGTGAGATGTTCAGGTTAGGAATGATAATGAGTTTAAGCTAATTAATTGAGTCCATGGCCATGCTAGTGTGACACAAGTTGTTTCCGGTTGGGGCGTCTTAATATGATTCGGGTGAGAGGTCCACATCTCCAATTCTCAGTGCATCAATTCGCAGCCAATATTGGGGAAAACACATGTACTTTCTCAGCTGGAGAGACAGTATTGTCATCAAAGAGTCTAGCTAGCAGTTAGGCATGTACTACGCTTTTCTGATCTGAAGTGGTCTCAGAATTCAGAAATATCTTCTTGCAGGTACATATACCTTGGGCTCTTTGACACCGAAGTTGAAGCTGCAAGGTACTATTCCTTTGATGAAGTGACATGCATGACGAGTCATGAACTTCCTGGTTTCTCGCTCACTTTCGATTCATGTCTGGTTGAATTTGGTAGAGCATATGACAGGGCAGCTATTCGCTTCAATGGGAGGGAAGCTGTTACCAACTTCGAGCCTGCATCCTACAATGTGGATGCTTTACCAGACGCCGGAAATGAGGGTACTACAATCAGTCTCACCATCGAATTTTCCGTTTCAGCCGAAGCACACCAAACACCATTTCTCATAGCCATCACTGTTTTTTTCTTTAGCAATTGTTGATGGCGATCTTGATTTGGATTTGCGGATTTCGCAACCTAATGCGCGTGACTCCAAAAGCGATGTCGCCACAACTGGCCTCCAGTTAACTTGTGATTCCCCTGAATCTTCAAATATTACAGTCCACCAGGTAATGCCGTAATGCTTATAGAAAGTAATAAATTCTCAATTCTGTTTTTAGTTTCAATTTTTTTTCCTGTTTTTATGATTTTCTCTGCAAGTATATATCTGTCGAAAAAAAGTGCATGCAAAAAAAAAAAAATGGTAGTAGAATGGAAACAACTGTAGCTTTCTCTTATCCATGTAACCTCCTATAAAGATGGACTGTACTTCTTGTTTTTATCAGTACGTTGTCGATGATCCAAGTTCTGAAAGACCGGATATTATAACGTTTGTTTAACCTTTTGGCGTTGCTGTAGCCAATGGGCTCGTCTCCCCAATGGACTGTGCATCACCAAAGCACACCACTGCCCCCTCAGCATCAACGTTTGTACCCATCTCATTGTCTTGGCTTCCTCCCGAACCTACAGGTATTATTATCAACACCCCTTGCTTACCAATTCTAATGGGTTTGTCAAATAAATTATCGTTAACGAGCTTAGGATTCTATAACTGAATACTATGCTTTCTGCCTTAAGAACAGTCATCTAGCAAGTTCAAACATTACTTTTTACTACCTTTGTTAGTACTTCTACCTCGAGTACAGGTATTTATCTGCAGCTATTAGTTGTTAGATACCGTTTCCCTTGTGAATTCTGATGGGTAGATAAATACCTGAGTATTTCGTCAGGTGGTTCTGTCAGCATGATTTTTTCTTTGAAAAAGCATTCCAGTATTACAGTTCTGATATAACTTCAAGTTAGTACACTGATCACCTGGCGCAGCTTTTAACCCTCAAGATGCTCTAGATTCAGATACTGTTTAAAAGCTTGCACGGCTCTGAGTGATCTACTATATCTTGCTTTTCCATCCTTTATATTGCTGGCTGCTGGCACACTGCACGCATGCATAACTAAGGTTAATGTAACGAACAACCAATCAATTGTGCCATCTGTTCCTTTTGAAATTTTTATTTAGTTAGAATATGTACTGTTCCAACTGCAGGAGAAGCATTATAGCATTAAGAATCCTATGCTGTGATAGCATGAAAGATACAGTGCAATGTGAAAAAAAAAAAGCTCATATAGATGATTGCTCTGTTGCAAATTGCAATGGAACTGCAGGAGAGGCCAATGGACAGAAGGCCTGAGCTGGGTCCCATGCCGTTCCCAACACAGGCTTGGCAAATGCAGGCCCCTTCTCACTTGCCATTGCTCCACGCTGCAGCATCATCAGGATTCTCTGCCGGCGCCGGCGCCGGCGTCGCCGCCGCCACCCGCCGGCAGCCGCCGTTCCCGGCGGATCACCCCTTCTACTTCCCGCCAACCGCCTGACAGACCATCGCGGTTCACGTGTTTGCACGGCGTTCGACTTCGGATCGATCGCCTTGCCGGTGAAACACCATTAACTGTTCTTGCAAATTTATATACAGTATTAAGGCAGTGAGGTAGTACTAGCCAGGTGCATTGACACCCACAGCTCATTGATCTCTCTGTCTTCTCCGTGTTAATACTGCTGCTACTGTACGTATCGTGCCATGAATATAATTAATGAATTCATCATGGGCATGGAGCTTGACAAGTTGTGCTCATTCATGTGTGACTGACATGTTTGGCCGGGTGAAACCGAGTACTCCGTCGGTCCCAGAATATAATAAATTTTAGAATTAGACACGGTTATTAAGAAAATAGATAAAAGTAAGTGGTGGAGGGTTATGATTGGATGGGTAGTGGAGGTAGGTGAGAAAAGTGAATGGTTGAGGGTCGTGATTGGATGGGAATATAATGTTGGTAGAGAAATTATTATATTTCAGGACAAATTTTAAGAGCTAAAAGTTACTCTCTTTGTCCCATAATATAAGGGATTTTGAGTTTTTGTTTGCAACGTTTGACTACTTGTCTTATTCAAATTTTTTTGAAATTATTATTTATTTTATTTGTGACTTACTTTATTATCTATAGTACTTTAAGCATAAATTTTTGTTTTATATATTTATAAAAAAATTGAATAAGATGAGTGGTCAAATATTACAAATAAAAATTTAAAATCTCTTATATTATAGGACGGAGGGAGTAGTTGTTATATTTTGGGACGGATGGAGTACTCTCCAGCTACCAGCTGACGGAGATTGTTTGGTTTAGGGGAGAAAGGAGAAAGAACTCTGATTGATGGGGCTGTGAAACGCAGCGCTACTGTCAGAGTTAAGTCAGCACAGTGCAGTGAAAGCTCTTCGGGTATCATCGTCGTCTTGCGCAGCTAGCACTAGGAGCCTAGGACAGCGCTGTTGCATCGTCGCCGCTGGCAATGGCCTATACTCGGCCTACTAGACGCCTACTGACTGGTAGTGTAGCACACGGTGCGTTCTCCGCAACTCCCTCATTTTTTAATGAACATGTTTTCGTGCGTTTTCTAATATATTCTCCCCCTTTTTTAATGTTTTTAAGTTTCTTAAAAAAGAAATCAAATAAATCTGTTTTTCAAGTTTAATCATATTTCTTGTACTGCGGTGGTAAAAGAGCAAAAGTTAAATGAGATCTCAAAACGGAGCATAAGCATGTGTTATTTGGATACCTTTCCTAACTTCACTCACTCGTCTTTTGAGCATACGTTTTCCAAATTATTAAATATTTTTCTATAAAAAATTATATATATATTTTAAAATAATCGTATTAATTTATTTTTTAAGTTTTTTAAAATTAATATTTAATTAATCGTGTGCTAATAAGGTATGTGGAAAATAATCAGTTCCCAGCAAAAAAAAAAACGAACACAACTTAAGGTGTGTTCTATGTTAGAAATTTTCTCTCTTATTTTTATTTTTAAAAAGAAAATCTTTTATAAAAAAAAGTACTTGTAAAAATTATATTTATCCATTCTCTTATTTTTATGACTAATATTTAATTAAACATGCGTTAATAAAACCATCCCAGGCATGCTGCTCTCGCTCGCCGCTGCTTTTATCGGCCAATGACTGGGGAGAGAACCACAGTACTGCGGCCAGCCGGCGTCGACGTCGGCGCCCTCCTCCCCGGCCGGCTTTCTCTTCGGCATATGCTCCGGCCTCCGGCTACGCGTGCATGCATGCATGGGATTCCCGCACTACTCCTACTCGGTCCCGACTTCCGAGGCGCGCGACAATGGCGAGGGCTAGTAGCTGGGCGTCCAGTCCAACGGCGAGCTCAGCTGCAGGAGACGTGTACCACTCTGCTGGCAAATCCACCTCTTTTGGTGATCCGTGCATATGCTACTACTACCACTACATTACTCTGCTAGTACTTCTACCAGGGGTGTTTTTTGACGCAGGAGTGTAAAGCTTTATCGTGTCACATAAGATGTCATATAAGAGTATTTGGGTATTAATAAAAAAATAATTATAGAATCCGTCGGTAAACCGAGACGAATTTATTAAGCCTAATTAATATATCATTAGTAAATATTTACTGTATCACCACATTGTCAAATCTTGGAGCAATTAGGCTTAAAAGATTTATCTCGCAAATTAGTCGTAATTTGTATAATTAGTTATTTTTTTAACCTATATTTAATACTTTAGGTGTTTAATAATTCAAACGTTTGATATGATATGATGAAAAATTTTAGGTGGTATTTAAACAGGGCCGAACTCCATATGCTTGTTTGGAGTGGCAAGTGACTGACAGTGTGAGTGACACAGACTGATGACAGAGTGAGAGAGTGACAGACGGTGGTGGTGTCCATATGGCTGATGGCTCACCGGCCGGCAACCTTTTCCGCGGCTGTCTGTCCGGGTCGATCCCCTGCCTTGCCGCTGGATGGGTGTGGTGGGTAAAGGTGGCTCTCACGGCCGCTGTTCCAACTGCAGTCGATCGACGGCCGGCCGGGGCCCTCCCGCCGCTAGCAGCAGCATATGCCCAAGCAGCATTTGACCATGACCACCATGCAATCATACCTCGATCGATCCGGTGCCTTTTCATCGACGACGACGACGACGACTTTTGTGTTTTTTCGCTGCAACGAATGTTTCATCGGATGGGCAGGGGAATCAGATGCTGTGCTGGGATGCTTGCTTTGTTGCTCAGCAGTGCTGTCTCTCCATGCTGATCCCGGCCTCTGGATTCACTCCCAATATACCCCCAAAATCTCGAACCCTAGCATGTCAAAGTAATTTTAAGGAGAGAAAAAAACCCCACAATATCCTTATTTAATGTAAATATTGTATGCTAGTATTAGTTGGTACGTAAGGGATATTGAAGTAATAAATTTTCTCGACTTACGAAGGTAAGAGTTAGTTTATTTTCGGATGGATAGAGTGAGGGCCTGTTTAGTTCCCAAACAAAATTTTTCACGCTGTCACATCGAATGTTTGGACACATGTATAGAGTATTAAATGTAGACAAAAAAAACCAATTACACAATTCACCAGGAAATTGCGAGACAAATCTTTTAAGCCTAATTGTGTCATGATTTGATAGTATGGTGCTATAGTAAACATTTGCTAATGACGGATTAATTATACCTAATAAATTCGTCTCGCAATTTTCTGGCGGAATCTGTAATTTGTTTTGTTATTAGATTACGTTTAATATTTTAAATGTACATCCGTATATCCGATGTGACATGCAACGGTAATTTTTTTTCCAACTAAACGAGCCCTGACTTTCTCCTTTTGACCCCCTTAATTGTACTCCTAATCCAACGATTTCCATGCATGACTATACAGCCTATACTATACTGTAGCTGTTGATTTGTGGTGGAAGTGGTACACTGGTACTGTACCATTTTGGTCGTTGGCCGGCATGACATCCAGTGCTGTAGCACGAGTACTAGTAGCGTTAGCTATTGGAGGAGTAGTACTGTACCATTTTGCTCATTGCTGGTCCTACTACTCGTACCAGCAGCAACACAACAGGTGACAGTTCGTTTCAGTGCAGATATTATTGCCATGGATCGATTGGAGTTGGAGAAGGGAGATGAGTAGTAGTACGTGGAGCCACCTTATTCATTCCGAGGACGACATGTGCATGTAGGAGTAAAACTCAAGACAAACGTGCTAGATCGATGGATCGATCGATGTGTGCTCGATGATCACCTCTCCTAGGATCGGAGGACCATACTCCATGCCTAGCTGACCATGCATCTAGCTACTCCTATGCTAGTTCTGGTTTGGCGATTCGTCCCGTGCACTGTACCATCATAGTGCCAATTTGCACATGTAGTAATTCTATACCAGGACACATACTTTATACTAGTACCATGCTGCTAGGTAGTACTGTAGTAGTACTAGTAGTAGTACTACTAGTAGTGAGAATTCTTATATGTGCAGCGTCAATGGAAAGGATTTTATCCGGGGAATAACTAGCTGATCAATAGCATCAACAACTCGAGCGACCATCGCGGCAAGAGGGAAAACATATGTTGAGGTGAGACCGTGAGAGTGAGACCAGTAGCTTTGATCTGGTTTTGGGCACAGTGAGAGAGGCAAGAAGAGTGGAGGCCGTGGCCCGTGGCCCACGCGAGCACAGTACCAGTCAAACTCGGCTTTTGAGACCAAGCCCACCGCCAGTAAAAAATTTGCCCATGAACATACCCGGCCCGTCCCATGGCACTGGCTCCGATCCGGATCACCTCCTATCCGGTGTGCCGCAATGACGGCGGCAGCGGTTGTGGTTAGGAGAAAGCTACGCATTGGACGTTTCCGGACGATGTTTCACTGTATGTTGAATGAATATTGTAATGTTTCAACATAAAATCTCCAGACGATGTTTCACAGTATGTTGAATGAATATTGCAATGTTTCACCGCTCGGAAAAAATGTTTCAACAAAAATTGTTTCTCGATGTTTCATCTTTCATTGAATGTTTCACCGCTCGAAAAAAAATGTTTCACCACTTTATCGAAGATGTTTCAATCGAATGCAACACTCGATAATGTTGTCTGCAACAAAAAAAACCAATATATGCAACATCCGAAGAAACTAAATGCAACATCCATTACCGATTTAAGAAACATCCAGAAAAAACGGATTGCAACATTAGGAACACACTATGTGCAACAAAAAAACATGTAGTGTGCAGCCTCCTCACCTTCGTCGCCGAGCTCAGAACCCTCTCAGGTGATGGCGTCTCAAGCATTTCCGTCGTGCTGCCCCGTTGCTGCCAACGTGGGTGCCGGCGCTCACCGCATCCCGCCGCCGGAACTGCTGCACCGGCCACCGCTCGAGCGCATGGTAGTCCTCGCTGGCGACGAGCACCACCCCACGCTTCCTCTTCCATCCGTCATCAGGGAGAAGGTGAAGAACAGCGGCGCGCGGTCGTCGCTGTTTGACGCCGCCCGGCGCCTCCATTACCAGTGCCGCCCGGAACACGGCCACCGCGCCTGCCACACGACGCCGCTAACGAACGTCGCCGGCGGCGCCAGAATCCGGCCATCCGCGACGGCAGCCCCGCCGTCTGCGGCGGCGGTGGCGGCACCGGCTGATGACACCGCGGCCGCATGTGCAGCGTGGAGACGCTGAGAAGAAGTTAAACGAGAGGTTGGGGATGAGAAGGAAGAGGATAAGATGGGGGAAAGGTGGGCCCCATCGACCGTCCGGAGTTTGTCTCGTATCGGACGCTCG